TTTTTGAAAAAGTATCAGGGTAACATGAACATCGAGAAGGTATTCACTGCAATTGAAAAATTCGAAATTTTTGAAAAAGTATCAGGGTAACATGACCATCGAGGAGGTATCCACTGAAATTGAAAAATTCGAAATTTTTGAAAAAGTATCAGAGGAACATGACAATCGAGGAGCTATTCACTGAAATTTGTAAATTCGAAATTTTCGAAAAAGTATCAGGGGAACATGAAAATCGAGGAGCTATTCAGTTTTTAAACAATATTTCGATTGATTAGCCATTTACAAAAGAAAAAATTGGAATTATTTTGAATAAAAAAAAACGAATGATGGCGGGATCGAACCCAAGTTATCCGCTGCTAGTCAAGCACGTTGCCCCTTAGACAACGCGCTCACTATAAAAATATAATTTCATTAGTAGTATATCTTCAATATATTGAATCATTTTTTCCATTTGAAATTCCAGAAGATGTGGCTTCCCCCTTCCGCTCATTCTACAGTCGACTAAATTTCAGTTAAACAAATAAAAAACAAAAAGCATTCATATCGCAGAAAATAAAATTCACCCCGTCGACTCCAAACTGAATATGATAATTGCCCCACGGAGAAGATGGTGCTTCCATCGGTTTTTTGAACCAAGCGCCCAAAAGAGAGAACATTTGAGCATGCGCACTAGCAAAGTGAGCAGGGACATTGCGCAAATGTTTGTTTACGTGTTGTATTGTTATAATTTTTGCAGTAAAAGTTACAGCAGATCGCAAAATTGATTGACAGTAGGAGTGGACGATCGCTTGAGGTACCTTCATGATTATAATTAAAAATTAATGAAGCAATTAGGGAAGATCTGTCAGATGTCATTTGAGTAATAATTACTAAAAAATTTGCGGTGTTTCTCTATTGTTGAGGTTAAAACTCGCATTAATCGATTTCTGAAATAACTTGCGGATTTTTCACGGGAATGTTGATATTGCGTGGTGATTGTTACGGCTCAAACCGCTCATTACGCAGCTTTTTTTCACATGTCGGCTTGTGTTCGCCGTAAAGTACCGTTCAAGTATAGTCACAAAGTCCAAGAGAAGTCAGCAAAAATGAGCCCTGAGGGCAATTGAAGTAATGCGATAGTTTAATTCATCTGATGAGACTTTTTTCGTCTTTCGCGGTGTTAATGATAAGGATTTTCATGTTTACGTGTTGCTCTTTTCGTTGATTACTTAATTATAGACATGTTGGTTTCCTCAGAGAGAGAAAAATATGAGTTTCAATGGCGATGGATCCAAGGGCATTGCTGATGTGCAATTGAAACAATTCATCGACGTTGTAGCCGCCAATCAGAAGTTTCAGGTTAGCTCAATACTTATGAATCACTACTTGACTGATCACTTGGTTGTTTTGTTGGTATCAATTAATTATTAATTAAAGAATGCGTTAATTACGTAACCTAAAATCAATAACTTGAGAAATCAATCGATATTCAACAGTACCGGAAAATTCAACTCAAATTATTATTTTGTTACTAAATTAGTAGACCTAATGGTAAATTTTCCATTAATCGCTCTTCTCAGATTTTATAAATATCAGTAAAATTCATTCATTCAAGAAAATATATGAATTACAGGGTCTAGTGCATAGCCTGACAGAAATCTGTTGGGACACTTGTGTGGACCGTCCAACACCGCGTCTGGAATCAAAAACCGAGAGGTGTCTGGTAAACTGCATTGAGCGTTTCATCGACACAACAAACTACATAACAAATCGCCTGGAGAAAGTAGCCCAGTCTTCAGGAGCCTTCGAGGCAGAATAGCCCAAATCCCCGTTAAATTAATGCTAAGGATAGAGACGGTGAATGGGTCAAGAGAGAACCTCAAAGAAAATTCACAATGTTCTCGTCACTAGGTCGATTCTTGAGGAATCATCGACGTACGTTGGTAGTCAGTGGGGTAATAATGGGTGGAGCTGTTGTTCTCTGGAGGTGCAGCAGGCAGAAGCTGTTAGAATGGAAGCAGAATGAGGTGCAGAAGTTGCTGCAGGGATCGAGAAGGAGTCAACATTTCGAGAGCACTGAGAGATCCTGCAATCAGACGATAATGAATCTTGCAGTGTGTGTGAGAAATTCTGTGACAAAATCTCTGGATACTGAGAAAGTCGTCAATGATCTTAGAGAGGGCTCAGCTGACAAGATAGCCGCCTGGAATAAATTGAAAGTCTTCTCGATAGCTCGTTCTGCCACCATAATCTATGCCAATACGATGCTCGTGGCGACCCTCAGGGTGCAGCTGAGCCTTATGGGTGCTTATATGTTCAAGAACTACCAGAAGACTCTGGACTCTGGCTCCCTGAGTGAGCAGCTTCAACAGAAATACCTCACCCTCTGCAGCTACTTCATCGACGAGGGAATCCAGAGGCTCAGCGGCTTCATTGAAAGGCACGTCGAGCATACAGTCAGCTCTATCAAACTGACTGATAAACTCAGTATCAGAGACCTGGAGCAGATCTACCTCGCCATAATTTCCACTGTAATCCTCGATGAGGAGAATGATCCGGTCAAGAAGCTCACGAGTTACATGCTACCATCCAAGGTCGAACGTGAAGATGATCCCCTTCTTAAGAAAATTATCAATGAGACTCTGGATCTCTTGGAGAGCCAGGAGCTGCAGAATCTCGTGCAGGCAAATGTCAGGACCGGATTTGTGGCGCTGATTGATAAGATCTCGGAGTATTTTATTGAAATTCCTTTCGAGAAAAATGGAATTTCCAGTCTGAAGGATTTGGAGAAGAAGAATGGATTCTTGGATATTAATAAAATTACGATGCCCATGGCCAAGATTATTCCTATTATCAATGGACAAGTGCCTGATGCACCCACTCAGAATGATATATCTGCGGACTGGCTGCAGAAGCTCATCATGAATGAGATGTTCAAGTCATTCGGGGCTAATATTTATGAGGCGTTCAGCTTTTAGGGGATTTTCTGGGTTCCACTTGCACCCATGGAAGGGAAAAATTATTTTATATACATGGATGTAATGTTGTTAATAAATTAATCGAGGTGTAAACTATTTCTTCATTCATTCATGTTTCAATTATTAATTATTAGAGTTTTAATTGTTCATTGGTATAATGATTTTTCGATGGGAATGGTATTGAAATAAATGACTGAATTATTTTTTTTTATGGTAATAAATTAATCGAAGAGCAAATGCTTCAATCCTTTTTTGTGCTTTGACCTTTTCTCTTCGACAAATTGGTGCCAACTTTCTCGATGCTGTTGACATTTTGGTCCCCAGGTGGTCGCCGGTGTAAATGCAGTTTTAATTGCTTCCAGGATTGATAATTTATATTGTTTATCCACATAATACACAACCCATCCTGGAATTTGCACCATCGCGAGGGAAAATAAAATCCACCCAACCACTGGAATGCGCAATAAAAGTGATAAATACCTAGAAATAAATATTTATAATCGCAATTATGTGGGATAATTACCGTATGCCCAGTCTGGGTAGTATTTCCCATCGTACTTGAGGGGCGAGTAAATACAAAAAGTATAAATCATGATGACAATCATTAGTCCAGGGGTAATGAGCAGCCAACAGAGTCTCCAATGAACTCCAGGCCTCACACCCAGCATGAATTCCACGTCATTCAAGAAATTACTCAGTCCATAAATCCAGCAAACCGAAATTATTTCCAGTACTCCAACCACGATTGCAACTAAAGTCCCTCCGTAATAATCGACGAGAGCCACGAGCCATTGTCCTCCCTAAACAATTAATTGAAACTTATAATTATTTAATTTGTCTTGGTAATTTCTACTCCATATGGTCAATACTATAAAAAATTATTGTACAATTAAATTATTTCAGTGGAAAAGATAAAATTGATATTTCAAAAAACCTATTGAATTAATGATAAACAAATAAAGAAATAACGAAATAAAATTTAAAAAACGAGGATAAATTATAATTTATCAAATAATTTTCGAGTTAATTCGTGGATTTAGCGAGAATTAATTGCAAAAAAAAAATACCGGAGTGATATAAATGAGTCCCACAGCAAATCCAATGACTGATATCACGAGTGTAACGAGCCATTTCTTCGCATTCGGTAAATATTCGCAGGCAGCGAGAAAAACAGTGCCAGCAAGTGCCATTGCAGTGCCCAATCCCAATACGAATATCATGATGAAGAATAGAACCGAAAAAACTTGGGGTACGAATGAAAATCTCCCCAGGGCATCAGGATACGAGATGAAAGCGAGTCCAGTTCCACCCTTGACGACACTAGCAATATCATCAGTTCCCATTTCATACGCCAAATTCCCAAGGATTGCAAATATCGTGCAGCCTGCCATCAAGCTCGTCAGCGTGTCCAACGTGGTAACAATCATCACGTCCCTGAAGAATAATTAAACAAGGGATTATCCCCATTCCCCAGAAATTAATCTCACTTGAGCTGCACGTAATTCGAATGAATTGCTGTTGTAAAAGTTCTGATAAAGACCTGACCGTGAAAAAAAGTATTTAACACACCTGTGCATCGGGTGGAAAAACCTGTTGTGAGATGAGTAAGTGACAATGGGTCCGAAGCAAACGGACAGGGAGAAGAAGCACTGGGTGATTGCTGCATACCAGACATGGGGATCCCAGAGTTTGTCCCAGTTTGGGGTGATGAAAAACATAATCCCACTGCCTGCTCCCTCGAGGGTGACTGCCCTTATCAGAAGAGCAATCATGATGATGTAAGGAAAAATAGCGAGGAAGTAAACAGCCTTTCCAGTGTCCTGGATTCCTCGGTGAAGGACGATGAAGACAGACAGCCAAGTCAGAGCTAGACAAATTGTCAATCTCCACGAAGGCAAACCTATTCCAGACTCAATGTAGTCTGTTTCCCTCAACACTTCCTTCCTATAACAAAAAAACAAATTGATATCTCATTCGACAAAAACATGTCGTCTAATTGTTCTCACAGTCCCTAGATCTTTGGAAATTCTTTTCATCTCGATGATAAAATATTCACCGGAAATATAATTCAGCGGAACCCGTCACTTTCACTCCAGATGCCTGGACCTCACTCAAATTCGAGTGCTGAGACACGCAGGGATCGGTCCACTGGTCCCAGCAGTAGGTCCAGGGCAATTCACCCTGGAAACTTGCGACCAGGTAGAAAAGGGCGAGGGCCATTAACGAGCAGTAATAGCTGACTACGTAGCTCCCAACGAACGCCTGACCGAATCCTAATCCTGAGGAGGTAAGAGAAGTTATCAGTACCACTACAAAGTCGTATGCACTGCAATAAGACGGTAAATCCGAGGTAATCCCAGGTGATAAATAATGTGTGCACTCCACGTGGCGATATTATATCTTCTCCATCGTATGATGGAAAATCAAAAATTTAGTAATTCGATGCATTTTTTTTAAGTTGACTTAATGCAATAATTATTATTCTCATGTAAATAGGAATTAATTATAATTAATCAGGTGAGGAATTCTCTGGGTCTTACAAAACCTTTGAGAAGTCTGATAGATTGAGTAATTAAAATCAGACATTGAGATTGTTGAGTAATTTTACCTCTCATTGCTGGGGTGAGATCCCACAATCCTGCACAGGATCTACTAGTGAATTGACCCATCGCTGCTTCCATGTAGTAGAATGGTTTTCCTATGATGATTAGGACTATGATGTAGGGGATCAGGAAGGCTCCGCCTCCATTTTCGTAGGCTGTGTAGGGAAATCTCCAGACGTTCCCCAGACCCACTGACGTGGCGATGCAGGCCATCAGGAACTGAAGATTTCCACTCCATTCTGGTTTTTCTTCTGATTGTGTCGCCTGCAGATCCACACGAGACCAAGAGAATTCGATAGAAAATTAGTGAAATGATGATGAACTGAATTCACGTTCTTTACGTTGATTTATCTCAGAATCTATTGACTTTGGGAGAAAACATCAGAAAATTTTAATTGCCCGAAATTTAATCAGCTACAAAAAAATTCTTTTTCATTTCCATCCAAAATTAATTGTTTTCGAGATAAATCGGTAATTGCAACATGCCAATTATTTTAAAAATATTTTGTACTTATTGTTATTACTATTTTTTAATTAAATTATTTTGTTGATGTCAGACTCACAGGGGACGACTCCTGGGGGACTGGAGTCTCAATGTCTTCCGGAAATTTTTCCCCGGTGTCGAGGCCCTCGTTAACGTGACCGTTCTAAGACCAATTAACTATGATTAATTAAAGAATTCAGAGTTTAATAATTTTTTCTTTTGATTTGAGAATGGAATTTTGCACTCACATGTGTTCCATTTGAAAATTTCTCCATGTCGGGCGCGTCAGGATGCAGTTGCGTCTGTCATCTGACAGCGATTGCTGAAGAAATTTCTTATCAGTCGGCGTATTAATTGAATTGATGCCGCGGTAATCCATACGTGCAATTACCGTGAAGAATAGATAGTATATGCGAAATCGGAGATATGGAGTCGAATATGCGTGCAAATAATGTTTTTGTCAAGTAAATATCAGTCTGATCCCCCGCGATTTTTTATTATTCCACAATTTTTAACAATTTTATTTCCAAACTCGAAAGACTCCTCAAGTATTCCATGCATCAGAATAATTTAAATTTCCAGTGCTGATCCCGAATTCTGTAGCTTGCGTTATCAATGCGGGTTGATAAGACAGAAAAATAAGAACCAATCTGTTCTCATCCATTAATAACCGTTAATTAATCAACAACTAATAATTATCAATGAAATATATTGAATAATCGTTTAAAAATTCGAGGCGGACACGCCCGAGCTTTAAAGTGATCCACTTCCTTCAGAAGATGAAGAATAACTACTTGAATAATAATTACACTTAGAAACTGCAGTATTGCTCTCAATTGAATTTATTTTCATTTCAATAAACAAAGAATTTCAGGTAGAGGAATCATTCTCATCACTTCTCCTGGAGCCAGCCTCTCTTATTATAAGTCATCACGAGATCTCTGAGTTTTCTTGTGTAAGCCGGATTGCTTTCCCCATGCTGCAGGAGGTGTTTGACATTCTGGCAGTCCGGATGACTGGGCTCTACATCGAGGGTAATAATCTTCGTCATACTCAGGCAGTGGGAGAACTCTACCTGGGCATCCTCTCGAAGTCTCTCCTCGAAACTCTCCCTGTCATACCGTCGAACATCACAATTGAGTAGTTTGAGCCGTTCCAGGAGACTCTCGTAATAAAAATCAATAAGCTCATCAACGTGATCAATAGCTTCATGATCAAGGCCACAAGTAACGAAGAAAGTCAAGTCCCTCAATGGACTGAGGAAGAGATAGTTCTGGAAGTCTATGAGCTTGACGTCGTCAACTTGACCATCCTTGGATTTTTTGTACATTATGTTGTTCGCCCAGAAGTCGGCGTGGATGATGCTGGACCAGGGCTCTTCTGGAGTCGCCAACCAGGTGTCGTAGTTTCCCTTTGCCAGGCACCGACCGCACGCCTCGAAGTAATCCCTGATCTCCGGGTCCTTCTTGACGTCCTGAATCCTCTCGGCGATGATGGGAACCCACTGCTCGGGATGCGCCATGTCGATGCATCTGGCCTCCATCCTGAGGATTCACCAAAACTTCAAATTAACACCTGGATTTTAATTCCTCGAATTTTAATTATATCTTCCCCTAGAATCCTGACTTAAATCCTCATTTTATATTCAAAAAATTAGATTTATATTAAAAATATATTATGCCGTTTACGGGGGAGTAATTACGACCGCTGGACTAATAAAAAAAATGAAGTGTTAGACTTAAATGAGGATTCGTTACTTGGGACTTGTAGGTAATTAGATCTTGGGAGGGAATAATAATCCTGAGAGTTCAATTACGCGAGAATAAAACCTCAATTATCAAGATGGCGACCAAAAAAATAATTGCGGGTGAAACTGAGAATTAAAGAATTGTTGAAAAAAAATTAATCTAATGAAAAATATGAAACTTTCACTGTTTCGCACTGAATCGGACGCACTGCACAGGGCATTTCAAACTCCTGCGCATCCCGCGTATACCCATGAGCGGCGCGCGCAACGGGGGACCGGGCATACACAATCAGCTGATTTTTGGGTCTTTTTGTGCTCAACGATGTTTAAAAATTAATTAAAAGATAATGGTAGGATTAGGATCATTACTTCGACTCGAAATTTGAAGAATTAGATCAGCCCAACCTCTGAATATTTTTTATCTTTTCGATAGGATTAGAACAATTAATCCAGTACAGTTTTTTGGCGTTCGCCCCAACTTTTTAATTAATTAAACACATTTCTGCTGAACGTGTGGGTGCACATTTTTAATATGATGATGAGGGGAATTTTCTCTACATTTTGGTATAATTTCAGCCTGCCAGGACTGTTTGAGGTGGTCCAATTTGACTGGCCTATATTGAAAGGTATAAGATAGTGTTCTGATGATAAAAAAAAATTTACAGATGATTTTATTGATGACTTGTACCTGAGGATCTCGAAGAACTCAGGATCCTTTTCCTTCGCGGCCATTCCGAGGGCGTGGAACCTCGCCATCGCTTTCACCGTCATCCTGGCGTGCTGCAGGTCACATCCGGTTCTTCTCCCTGCGGTGTAGTACCCCCTGGGCCTCAGGTCTTCAATGAGAATCAGTGCGTCCTCGAAGTCCTCCGGGTCAGGCCCCAATCTCGATCCAAAGTACCTCGGAGCGAGATCCGAGTCCTCGATCCCGCTCTCGATCTCCAATTTCCGGTAGAATGGAAAAATCTTCGAGTACATGAAGATCTCTTTTCGGAATGTGTTGGGACTGTCCAACATTTCTCGCTGCTCCCTCGTAGGTGGTGGGATTTTTCCCACTAGATCTAGATCTTCCCGAATTTTTCTCCTGGTGATGGTCACGTGAAGACTTACGATTTTGCTGCCGTAATTTTCACCTGGTGGAAGGAGATCCTTCATTTCGTAGTTTTGGATTGTCAGGTCGTCACCTAGTGCTGATTGCAGGACAGATTGCAGGTCTTTTAGATCTGGCTCTGTCATTTTGAGGGAGCTGTTGGTTTAATCCAAGTTGTTAGGGTACTGACGGGATTTCGTGGTTTTGGTGTCAATTGCTGAACACGTCGACTCGATTTATCTGGTGGGAGAAATCGATAGCGAATTCCTTAAATGTCACGCAGCTGATTAATAACGCGGTCAATGTAGAAAAAAATAAGTGAAGATAATTTTTTTGATTTGATTTTTGGTTTTAGCATCTGAGATTTATTTCCAGAAGAACCATTGATTATTTTTTTTAATTGGTTTTATCCGGATTTGAAGAGTTATCGCCGATTTATTTATTATTATTATTTATTTCTCAAAGTATGGGTATTACACCTTATACAAAGGCGGATTGTGTCCCAGATTAATTATTGCCGATATATTATAATTGTTCGAATTGTTTTTTGCCGGTTTCTGGGAAACGGTTGATAAAATAGACGCGAGAAAATATACGGTTTTGAAAATTTATTATTATTTAATGTCTTGAGATTAATAGACGCTTTGTGAGTCATTGAATAATGATAAAATCTTAAAATGAAATTTCAAAAAAATCATGAAAATCGAGGGGTCGGCAATGACTTCTTAATTCATAAATTGCCGATTCTAAAATCCAAAACCAATTCCAAAATTTACGTTTTTTCATAAACAAGTCTTTCGTGTGTACTTGGAATATTAAATTACTTAAGATTTTTTTCTGTCGATGAAAAAATAAATGCCTGAGTTCGTGAACAATTTCCACTGAAATTTTCAATGAATAATATTTTATATAAACCCAAAGTAACAAATAAAACAAAGGAAGAAAAAAGAATGTTTAACAACCAGAAATAACGTAAACCATAAAATTTATTCTACAATTAATACATAATTCATTATTCCCCGAAATTTCTTCGGGTCTTTTATTTTTCGCTCAATTTTGTTTTGATGAGACGAGAAACGGTAAATCGTTATTAAATTGTTATTACATGGTTGCGAAGTTGTCAATGGCTTCTCCATTGCAAATCTACGTCTATTCTGGTTCAAGGACTGGGAGGAATGTGAGTGGGAAGTACAACTCTCAATTGATGACGTATTTCCTGCTCAGTCATCATTCAGCCACTTAATCAAACACTCCTAGTGTAAAAATTCACTTGTAACATAATTCATTTCGCTAAGGCAATCACCAAAATACTGACTTCTTCTCACTCTTGCAACCACAACACGAGTACTGGTATCTACCCCTGAAGTGGAACGTCATTTCGAATAATTTTTTTTCCAGCGAAAAAAAAAACAGAAATTCACCGTTAAAATTTCCAGAATTCTCACAACAATTCGATGACGAGTTATAAACAAATTCTTTATTTATCTATATCCCTTATTTCTCCATCTCCAGGTCATTATACGGCTTTCGGAAATTTTTAGTTACAATTGATTGAAATTCAATTTTAAAAAATCACTTCAAATTCAATTATTTAATTTTTTATGCAATAAATAACAAGATTTTGATTTATTTACTTTTTGGATAGAATTGGAATTTCCGGGAAGCGTATAAGAAGAACGAGAGACAATGAAAATTCAATCATAAAGGATTGAAATAATAATGGGAATTTTAAAAAGTATTTATTTTTCACGTGAATATCACTCTTTCAACCAGCCTTTCCTGCAATATGTCCGGATGAGTTCCCTCAGCCTCTTTTGATACATCACATTTTTGTGTTTAGACTCCATGACTTCTATAATATTATCAGCCTGAGAAACACTTGAGCTGTCCAGGGTGATAACATGCAGAAGACACATAGAGTGTCCAAATTCAATGGCCGCATCCTCTCGCATTTTTTCATCAAAACTCTCCCGTGAATACGCGGATACATCGCAGCCCAAGGACTTCATCTTCTCGATGAGAGTCTCATAGTAGAAATCAATAAGTTCATCGACGTGCCCAACAGTTTCACTATCAAGCCCAGACGTCACGAAAAAGATGATCTCCCTGAGAGGACTGGTAAAGAGAAAATTCTGGAAGTCAACGAGCTTGATGTCATCGGGTTGTCCATCACTGCCATCCCGAAACATGAAGTTGTTGGTCCAGAAGTCTGAGTGGGTAATAGAGGCCCAGGGTTCTTCAGGGGGTGCCATCCATTTCTCGAAGACCGCCATAGACATGGTTTCACAGGACTTGTAGTATTTTTTCACTTCAGGATCATCATCGATGTCCTTGAACCTCTGTCGAGCTAGTTCCTTCCACTTTTCTGGATCTCCTATATCGAGGGACTTGGCTTCAATTTTCAGGGTCTCAAAGAACTCGGGGTCATTCTCCTTCGTCGCCATTCCGAGGGCATGAAAATTCGCCAGAGCATTCACCGCTATTCTAGCGTGGGGCAGAGAGCATCCAGTTCTTCTGTCCACACAGTAATACCCCTGGGGCTTCAGATTTTCCAGAAGAAGTAGTGCATTGTCGTCGAAATTTCCAGCAGAGCCCAGCCCCAATCTCGATCCGTAGCACTTTGGAGCGAAATTAAAAGCCTCATCCACTCCATTTTCAATCTCCAATTTTCGATAGTATGGCAGGAGTTTCGAGTACATGAATGTCTCTTTTTTGAAGGTCACAGAGAAATCCAGCATCGCTCGTACCTGGGGATTCGAGGGTAGTAATTTACCGACAAGGTGCAGCTCCTCTGTTTTTCCGTCGTCCTGATTTTTCAATTTAACGTCGACCTTGAGCATTTTGCTACCGTAATTCTCACCTGGCGGTAGTAAATCCTCTGTTGTGTAATTATCAACCGTGTAATTGTCACCGAGAGATCGCTGGAGTAGCGATTGCAGGTCTTTTAGATGCTCTCCCATTTTTCTCGAGGACGATGTTGTGGGTTTGAGAGTAGATGCGTTACTGGGCTAATATTAGATAATGGTGAATGGTTTCCCCCGTTTTTCTGTCCTTGACTGAACACGTAAGCACATTGCTGTACCGATTTTAATGCTCGACATGTACCTCATCACTTTCCTCATGGAAATTTACTCGGACAAATGTGCTAGCTCTATCTTATCGCAGGCCACTCTATTTGTCATCAATCTATTAATCGCAAAACAATTTCGAGTACTAGTTTCTTCTTTCCAATTTGCACTGGCATTTGCTTTGATGTTACATCGTTTTATCTGTAGAGACATGAGGAATCAAGAGTTTATTGAAGAAATTCGAAAATTATAAATTGACTTCTCCGGTTGAGGCGACATTTTTTATTTTTTCATTTAATGTTTTATGGTTTTTATAACTTTAATGATTTTATTATGATCTATGAGCCATTTATAAGTCGAATATGTAAGGAATCAATCGTTAATTGATTGAAAAATTCATTTAGCAAAAAAGTAAGTTTCCCTCAAAAATCCCAGATCGGCGATTCCCCCAAAATGCGTTCATCTTAACGAAGAAAAAAAATTAACTCAGCTATACTCATTATCGATTACCCAACAAGCGATTAAAAAAATCGTTAAATGAAATGGCGTTGACACGATCGAATGTACAATGGGCGTCACGAAAACCTTTTAACCTAGATGCACGTGAATGAAGAACAGTCATGTCAAAAGGGGAAAGAAAGGGAAGAACCAACAATCGAATGCAAGAGAGGAAGAGAGTTGTTTATCAGCAGTGGACTTAATGGGCCCCTCAAAATCATCGAATCGTTGACGATGTTTTATGCTAAGTACCCGATCTCCGTGCAGATCACGAAGACCGGGTGCTTAATAATGAACACACTGACAACAATGACGGTTTTGACAACCCGTCCAGGTCAGGCAAATTAAAAAACACCCGAATACGCGACAATAATCGCGGCCTTTAAAAGGCATTTCCCTCAGGCTAAAAGACTCAGTCGATCGTCGTAAATCTTCAGGAACATGAGATCAACTGCGTGGAAGAAAAAGTTCGAGTGTTCGATTTTAATTCGGAAATGTTTGGTGGGTTAATTTCAATTGCGCAATTAATTTTTAATTAATAATAGATATATTTTATAACACCCTGAATTTTCAGGTTGTTATGATTTTTCAATTTTCAGTGCCTGCCTCAGGAAATTATGAAGACACAGTGCTAATAAATTTCCCCAGGAGTTCGAACACCTCTAGGTCTTCACCGAGGCTGTACCTTCCCCCGGAGGATCCTAATTACTTGTTGCCAGAGGTAATTGATAATCGGATGAGGAGTGCCTTTCCCAGACCAACGTCATCTCCAGATCTTCAGTTGAAAGCCCCAAGTCCTGGTGAACAGTCGAATTACAACTACGCAGCTATAAAGCAATCGTTGAATCCAATTAAATTGAAGAACCCTCAAGCAGACGTTTCCAACTCCATCATCACCTCGATGTCCTGCAGGAATTCAGAGAACGAGGTGTACTTTCGAGCATCAGTTACTCCATTGAAGTCCAGAGATGCTCCTGTAGTGGATGAAAGTGGAAATTCCCTCTGCGGAATTCAGAAAAAAACTGATGAATTCAAAATTGATTTCTCTGGTGATCTGTTCTGGAGTTGTGGTGTCCAGGACTGCTCCAGTGATTCTGAAAAATTTTACTGTCTCAATTTGCGATTTCCAGCGATTCCTGGACTTCGGCTCAAGCACGACACGAAAGTTCTGCTGAGATGTAGAACTCAGGAACGAATTACTTCTCATATCAAACGGTTTAACGTTAAAACTATTGATTCGTGAGTGTTCGATTGATTTTATTTTTCATTATTGCGAAAATTAAAATTATTCAATATTTTTTTCGATGAGGTAATCTCGATCAGGAAATAAAAACGATATCTTTATTTTTCCTTGCAGATCTGCTAGAATGGCAGTTAGAGTTGCTACCGGTGGCCATAAGAATTCATTCGAGACGGAGATCGGTTTGTATCGAAAATCACTTGGATCGGAACAACTGTTCGATTCTAGAATCCAACCCGGGGGAACCGTTATCCTCGGAGAGGAGGTCCTGTTGAGAGCTGTTGTCCGTGATGGTGATGGTGAGTTATTCAAATTAATAATTCATTCATTGGATTGATTAATTTATTTATCAGTCATGTATGCAAGTGGGACAGCCTCAGGAGTTAAATCGATTATTGATGTATTTGGGATCGATGGGAATTTCAGATGAACTAGTGAGTTATTGCCGATATCGTCTCATTTTTCCCTTTTTTTTAGAAATTTCTGAGAAATTGTTTATAAAATGAATGGGGAATAAAATGAAGTTTCTAAGTTTTATTATTAAAAATTCATAAAGCTTTACCAAAAACTTCAGAGAAAGACTTTCTAAAACTTGAAGTAATTTTTTAACCGTAACTTTTCTCATTCCTAATTATTTTCATTAATTAAAAACAATAATTCTCTTTATTCCGTTTCTCGTTTCTAATAAATATCGGTGGTTCTCGCAAACCACCAATTCTACGAGAAAATACCAAGAAACCTTTTTTCTTTAGAATTTGATAAGATAAAAAAAAGGTCTCTTAACGTTTCCGCGATAAATCAATGGCTTTAGAGGAAAATCGACGTTCAAATGTAGAATTCTATTTATTGAAATTTTCCACTGATTTCAGGCTGGAAATATTCGAAAATCAGTGATGTAACGGTTAATTTCGTGGAGAACAAGCGCCAGAAAAGGATTATGAATAGCGTCTGGATCCTGGATTCAAATGGTTGTTTAAATCCCGAAGTCCGGGAGATCAGCTCTCGAGAGCAGTCCAGGGTTTCGCCTCTCGAGAGTTACTTGATTTTCGAGGCCTTCATGTTCGATACAATGAGGGAAACCGACGAATTAATTATGAATGTGAAAATCACTGGGTGCCTGGAGGGCGGTGATTGCATCCTCAATTGTCCTGGGAGTCATGTGAGGAAGACCAGAAGCCTGGAGCCCTCACAAAATGGCACCGTAGATTGGCTGAATGACATTTCCTTCAGAGTTGCGCTACCACAGACTAAAAATTCGAAATTCCCCAGTCAAACTCACATGGTTATTCCTTATATACTGTCTTCCCTAATTCTCGTTGCTATAGCGGCATTAATATGCGCCATAAAAATCGTGAAGAATCAGAGGACTGAGCGGATTCTCATCTAAATTATCATTTTCATTTTTCTCACTCCCATAGATTCAAGAATCTCAAAAAAGAAGAGTAAAAGATCAAGACCTAAACCAACAATTAATAAAAATTCACATCTGAAAATCTCCTAAAAATGCTCAATCGTTTTGCAAACAGTTGTTATTTATTTATAAGACAAAAAGGTTTAAAAAATATGAGTATATTGTGTAATTTTACGTATAAAAAAAAATTGAGTTCCCGACACTCCAGTGGAGCGTTCTCATAGTTCAAATCCAAAACCTGGGAAATTCAATCGGAATATCATGCACATTAATAATATAAAAATCGTGGATATCGGTTCAACGCAGAAAGCACGCATTCTGTCATTCTCATCAGACTTGAATTTATTTATAAAAACTGACCGCTGAATTCATAGAATGACATAGAACCCATCGAGCTCCCAGCAGAGTTTCATCCCAAGTAAAAATCCCACGGTGGAAAATGCAAAATTTCTCACAAAAGGGTCGCCACACATCTGGGCCATAATGCACTTTAAGGAGCATTTGCACATGTCATCGAAGTACCTGAAGGAGAGATTGGCAAATTATCAATCAATACTACCCGAATAGCCTCCAATAAATGAATAAATACAACTTTTCCAATAATCAATTCAGAAGTAGAAATATAATAAATCCACCAGTGGAAATCCCATATCAATATCCCAAATAAATAATAAATAATAGAATACATTATAAATAATAATATTATTGCTGATCACTGACCTGAAGCCCTTGCGTAATAAATAATCATCCATTTCTGCTTGTCTCCTTTCTCTCTGTCTCTCAAACCACTGCTTTCTGCGACAATTGCTGTCGCATTTTTTTGGTTTCTCCTCGGGGAGTTTCGTGGGATCATCTTCACACAATTCTGGACATTTTTCAGAGCCACCGGTCTCCTCCTCAGAGGACTCACTACTTGATGGGGCTTTTCTCTGTTTTTTAACTGCAACTTTATATCCTCCGCACACCTCGTCCTCGCAATCGATCCCATCCCCGTCGTCCTCGAAGGATTCGGTTTCCGTCGATTCTTCTCCTAGAAATTTTGACAAATCCATCGCCACACATTTCAGATAACTCTTCGTTGTGTCTGAAGTGTCCTCGGTCTCGCTGGAATATGGGGTTCTCCGTTTTTTGCCGCTTGGAGTTGATATGTAACTCCCCTCCGTAGAGTAATACTCATCGTGGGTGACTCCTGAGGACTTCTTTGACTTCTTCGAGGCTTTCGGGGTCGGGGGAGTTCGATCTTCCTGGTCTCTTCTCTCAGCTTTTCTTCCTGGAGTGGATCCTGGAGTTCTTGCAGACTTCTCGTCTTTTCGTCGCGATCTGCTTCGAAAACTGTCTGCACTTTTTCCTGATGTCTTCATTTCTAATCCCTCGGATAATATTGAATCTCGATCAGTTAGATCTTCTGCACTTGAGACGTATTCAGTCTCTGTGTATTTATCTTGACTTCTTTTTGAGTCTTCATGTTGTTGAAGAAGATTATCTTTTTAGTTTCGTTGAAGAGTATTAACGAGTTATTCTCGATAGCTTCTCATTTTTCACGTTTTTCAAACAAATTTATAGGAAATTGTTGATAAAATTGATGTACAAAGATATATGATTTTTAATTTTTATTGTTGCTCAATGTCTCAACGACTCATCGCTGTGAAAAAATTTGTGTTCTCAGTAAACTTTTGTGGAAATTCCCAAAAAGTAGAAAAATAAACCCACGACTTTGTAAATTTTTGAGTAATTGAATAATAATAAAACTTTAAAACACATTTTTTCACGTCAGGCTGATCCATGGTTTCCCTGAAATTTACAAATAACCTCAAAAATGAGAAGATATCGGCAAGACCTCTTTGATATTATCCTGAATATGTCTCATTTATCGTTATTTGGTGATTGATATGGAGAAGGAACTGATCTTTACCTTTCGACAATCGCTTTTTTTGTTTGCCACATTTCTTGCTGCAGCCTGGCATTTTCAATAATTATTACGAAATAGTTACTAAAAGAGCTGTGAAAATAGAGAAGTGTGAAAAAATTATGCGATTTCTGAGAGCTTGAAAAAAAAACAAATGAAAAGAGATGAAGGCTTTCATCAGTTTCTCAGCTCCAGCTTTATCCAAAACTTCCACCAAAACTTCAGCTGGAAAATGTGGGAATCGTCTGTGCGAGTGTTTGAAGAGTGAATCGTGCGAAGAATATTCACAGAATGAAGATGAATCTCGGGATTCCTTTGGAGAAATTTCTTTTGCTGGTGAAGAAGATTTGGGATCAGGGAAGAAATTATCTCTGTGGGAGACGATTTTGAAAGAATTCAAAGAGGAGAAAGAAGAATTCGAAGAATGGGAGAAAGAGCATGAGGAATTGAAATCCGAGAAAACTCCATGTGAAGCTCTTGAATACCTGAATAATGAGATTTTTCCAATTTTGCTGCCTGGAATGGAGAAAATGTTGAGAGAAGCCCGAAAATGGAACGCAATCGAAGTAATTTCCACGATTTGATTTACAATTGGGGTCAAATAATTATTTTTCTGTTAAGAATTACTGATAGATCAGAGTAATTCCTTCAGGATCCGAAATGCCTATTCAACGGTTTGGATTATTTAGCTGAATACCTGTGGAACAAAAATCCTGAACACCCTGAGAGACAATCCAATTGGATCGGAGTATTTGAAATTCCACCGTTCAAGCATTGGTTGAGCTCCAAGTAAAATTTCGAAATAATTGAACAAGTAATCGAAACGTTAAGATGAATTCTATAACAGCCCTAGGCCGATCTATCCGAAGTCGTGGCTCTGGACTCGAGGAGATGCTGCATCCATCATTCAGAGAAATGTTCGTGGGTGGATAGTGAGAAAACGGAGGGACGTTCAGGAATTGAGAGAATTCTGGAAGGTGAAACGCAATGCACAAGTACTTTAGTAATAGTTTTAGAAATATCCACCAAAATGGGCAGTTCGTAGATATTTTTTAAAAATCCAGGATTATCAGGAAGAATTAATCGCTCGAATGCTGAAAAATAATTAATATACAAGTACATCCACATATTCATTTTATTATAAATAATGACGAACATCCATTTATTCACTTCTAAAATTGCAGGCTCTTGCTGCAGAACGAGCAGAACGTTCATCAGTTCTTTCAATTAATTTAGGTACAATGACAGAAAAGCATCACACCTCGGTGTCTCAATAAATCGGAAATAATTACCAAATAATGATTTTTCTTTAGACGATTTCGAAATATTTTCTTCAAAGGACAATCAACCCTTCGACATCTGTAAACTGATGAATAATGAATAAACGGTGGAAGAATTCAACTTACAAATGTTATATTTTCAATGACTGTACAATTAAAGCTCCGGTATGTTCAACTACCCCTTAATTAAATGGGTTTGACATTTGTATAGAGTTGAGGACTGGCTGGTGGACCCAGAGAAATAGTGGGTACAATCGTAGGTGTCTCTCCTTCCTCAGCAACTCGATAGATCTTGATACCTGTCTTATTGTACTGTATCGTCATTTGTGGAGGTGTATCGACTTTCTGTCCCTTCGCCCTGAGATTCCTCACCATAATTTCACGTAATAGAGGAGGTAATTCCATCGTTCTTGGTAAAATCACTTCAGGACGATCAATCCAGTTCAGATACTTATGCTCCTCGTCTTTTGGTACCAATCGAAAATCAGTTTTGTAGGTTGATCGATCCATCTGACTTATGCGTGAATCTTTTTTTCCTCTGAATGTCGTTTCTACCAGAGCCATACATTTTCGACTGTGTATTGGCTAGAAAAGAAATGGAATTATCACGTTCTAAATATCTGGAGAACAACAAGTGGAATTTTAAAAAGGAATTCAAGAGAATTTTATTGAAAATTTTTTAGTTCCTGGATTGAAATGCGGGATAATTACCGCATGTTTGGGTGACGTGAAAACCTCTGGAGGTAGAGCTCCGACTTTCAAAATTTTTATGAAACAGGGCTCAGGGTAACGTTGAAACCGCTGCCTGATGACTATTCTGTCTTTTCCATGATTTTTGAGATTGCCAACGAGTTCCCAAAGAGTTTTTCCACAAAAATCAGTGGTGCGACCGATGAGTTGCACTGGCATTGTGTAAATAAATTCTTAATGGTTTTTTCTAAATCAATAAAGCACTTTACTCGGTTCACCAGTATCCAGATTCACCGAGGTTATGTTGTTTTTATCACGGCACGAGTTCTCGATATGTCGAAATGCTATCGATAGTTTGCATATATCGATACTTTTTAAATGACAAAAAATTCAAATTGAAAAACGAAAAAAAACCTTTTTCTCTTTCCCGAACGGTTTTTTGTTCATCAAATGAAGTCAAACCAAAAAATATAAGAAATACTCTACTGTACTATAGGGATGAGTTCTCATTAAAATAAAAAATGCAAATTCCATATATTTTTTTCATGCATCATAATTATTATTCAGTAGTTTATAAAATAATCAATAAACATTTAGAAATTACCAATGCAATTCCTTGGAAATTCTCAACAAACAATGTTTTCTGTTAGAGGCATGATTGTCATTTTTTAAACATTTCTCAATATGTGACTGTCGATAATTATTTAAACTTGGGTGTTTACTTCCAGATGCTGCACTTGTTCATGGGGTTCATAGGGGAATTTGCTGGGCAATTGAAAGCTGCTGCAAAAACTTCATTATTGGACACAGCACCATTGACTCTTTGCTTAGATGGGCTGTGTTCATCGCTCATAGCGAATCTTTTAATGTACTCAGGACCCTCATTGGCACACCAACTCTGGGAAAATTTTTTATTCATTATCCTTATTATTGTTACTCAAAGATAATTTTCATACTCACATTGCCAAACGCTACGAAAAAAAGCTGTTCCTCGGTGAATCGTTGTAATCCAGGAACTGTAGTAGTCGCATTTCTATTTTTTTCACGGAATAACTTGTACGCGTTCCAAGCAACTATCAGTCCTATAGTGTCCGATATATTCTCTCCCATCGTGAAATTACCGTCGAGCTGAAATTATTTTTTAATGAAAAAATTTCTATCTAGTGCAGCGTAAAAAATACTCACATGCATGACCTCTTCGCCATCATCGTAAATAATGTAATTACTGAATTGAGTGCCAAAACATTGCGCGTTCTCTTGATATTTGTCGATTGCAGATTGCGGCCACCAGGTCACAACATTACCATTTTTGTCATAACGACGTCCTGAAAAACAATTTCCACTTCCCTGATCACATATTCCAGAAAAAATTATTAATTCCATTCCATTACCTTTGCTGTCCAAAGAATGACAAAGTTCATGGCCAATTGTTGCACCGAGTACCGCATAATTCATTATACTGCAAAAATACAATTTTTTCGGTTAAATAATAATTCCATTTTATACTTCTGATTAATATACATTACCTGGGTAAATTCTGGTCATAAATGGGAGGCTGAATAATTCCAGTGGGCACCTCTGAAACACAACGCAATTAGACAATATTTTCAATATTTAATTATTTACGATTTCCAATATTTACGCATTGCATTCGCCGTTGGAATATAGAACGCATTGACTTCTGTGGGTTCAGCTGGCCATCTGTAAAAATAATCGATACAATCACCGAGAAAATTCATGTATTTAAAAAAACAGCTCCAAAAGATTGAAATTTTTCAAATAAATTTCTCTGTGTCAATAATTTCCTGATAGTTTTCTTCAGAATTATTCAACATACGTGCTTTTATCCGTAGGTTTGCGCAAACTTAGCACCTGGTTCCTCTTCACAAAGACTCGTCTTGCTATTTCATTATCAAAGTAGCTGTCGAATGCTGGGTACTTCAAATCGCCGAATAATCAGAAACAAATAAATTAATAATAAATCAGTAATGCATAATAAAGCGAAGTATCTATTCTAAAAAAAATAAACATTTCAGTAAATACCTCCTCGATTTTCATGCTCCCCTGATACTTTTATGAAAATTTTGAATTTTCAAATTTCAGTGAATACCTCCTCGATTTTCATGCTTCCCTGATACTTTTTCAAAAATTTCGAATTTTCAAATTTCAGTGAATAACTGCTCCATTTTCATACTCCCGTGATACTTTTTTGAAAATTTCGAATTTTTAAATTTCCGTGAATACCTCCTCGATTTTCATGCTCCCCTGATACTTCTCCAAAAATTTTGAATTTTCAAATTTCATTGAATGCTTCCTCAATTGTCATGCTCCCCTGATACTTTTCCAAAAATTTTAAATTTTCAAATTTCATTGAATACCTCCTCAATTGTCATGCTCCCCTGATACTTTTTCAAAAATTTCGAATTTTCAAATTTCAGTGAATACCTCCTCGATTTTCATGCTCCCCTGATACTTTTATAAAAATATTGAATTTTCAAATTTCAGTGAATACCTCCTCGATTTTCATGCTCCCCTGATACTTCTCCAAAAATTTTGAATTTTCCAATTTCATTGAATACCTCCTCAACTGTCATGCTCCCCTGATACTTTTTCAAAAATTTCGAATTTTTAAATTTCAGTGAATATCTCCTCGATTTATGAATTGAATTTAATTGAAGAAAAAAAAATGATGGGTAATTGTTTAGAGATTTTGGATGCCAAATGATAACACCCCACACGGGGCGCGCCATATACTCTACTGTGTGAAAGAATTCGTCATAGTGTATCGATGTTTACCTGTGAATAATATTCATCTATATTAGCTGCGCTGTAGTAATCTGGATAACTGACGAATTTTGCCATCTTGTGGACTTTATCCATCGCCAGATTCTTCGTCTGTTCATCGAGCCAAGAAGATTGTGCAATCTGTTCTTCCACAGCCGTTTGAATATTAGTCACCATCTCAGTCACCTGAGCGTTACGAGAAATCATTGTATCATTCACTCAATTCAATTATATGAGAATTTTTTATTGCTGAATTAAAAAAATGAAGCAATTACTACATTTTTTTATTTTGAGAAATATAACGGAGTCGAAAAACTGCGGAAATATCTGACTTGCAAAGTGATAACAACATCATAAAATCCGTGAGATTTGTTATCAATTTTCATATTCAGTAATTTTATTCTTTAAAAAGTTCCATGCAACAATTTAATTTACATTACCGCTGCTTTCACTTCCGGTGATGAATATTTCGTTGTGAATGCGTAGGAAAGGGCACGTTGAAGTGGAGGTGGTTCGGCACATATATCAATTCTTGAAAAAATAATTCAGAATAATTGAGTTGTAATGAAGAGATTGCATTTTTGAATATTCTACACCCTTTCCGCCGTTATTCACGTTCTTGTAATTTTCCTGTTAAACTTCCAATGATGGTGTGAAAAAAGATACAATATTTTGGCATTTTGTCATTATTCAATCCTTAAACAATCCCAAAACTTGAATTTCAGCCGAAAGGACGTCGAACATCTTTAGATATTCAAAATCTCACCTATCCGGAATGTTATCTGCTCCAACCCGTTTCGCATTCAAATTTTGCGAGAGGTATCTTACATTATCAGTAGAGAAAAGTGATAACTCTTTGATTACTCTCCAGATGATGTAATTCACTGTCGCCAGTTTAATGAGTTAAAATAATGTTTAAATAATTTCAACAGATAATTAAATCCGATTTCCTCTAGATTTAGTGTAAAATCCATTTTTAGGGAGATGGAATGCTCGAATGGAATCCTTACCAATAGTTTCTGGTGGAGTTTTAGCTAAGAACTTTGGCAGCTCTTTGAAGAAATTTTTCTTCAAAACAACAATCTTCTCCGATCCATCGACGGTTACTTCAGGAGCTAATGACACTATTTCTGCGATTATTTCAAGCCAATTGATCTAAAAAATGCGTTAACTCATTTGGATGTGTAAATTTTATCAACTGGTAATTAATGATTTAATTACTTTACCTTAGCAGTTGGTGAAGTGGTGGGTTGACTATCGGAAATCGCCTGGAGTTCATCTATCGTCATGAGATTGTACAGCTTATCAAGGTCATCGAGGCCCTGCTCACCTTTCGTCAACTGCAAATTTATTATTCCAGTTAATTATTCTCCAGAAAGAGTAAGGGCTCAATGAATTCGACATTAATTTATACCTCGGCTAGATCTCTTTCGAATTTCCTCAGATCTTCTAACTGGGCGGATATAGTCAAGCCCTCGGGAGATGCACCTGATGATTTCTGAAGTTTATTAGCCATTATTAGTTTGAACTCCTCATAGACCTGCAGCGCGGGATCATCCGCTGGGGCTAGTAATTCAGCAGATTTCAGAGAAAGTAATGGCTCGCCCACCTGGAAATTAATGAGAGGATTAATCAGTGCCCAGATCTCGCTGAAGCTAACAGCAGGATTTTTTCGTAATAGCCTATCTCATGATTTCATAATCTCATGACCTCATGACCGGTCCTCCCTCTCTAATTATTTGGTAATTCGTAATTGTTAGCTCTTCTGATGATTTTATGATTTTATGATTTTAATAATTCATACAAAATTAGACTTAATTCAATTCACAGAAGTCATAATATAATCTGGTCTTCTGTCTTTTGTTGTTATTCTTTCTCTAGTCTTTTGTTGTTATTCTTCTAATTCATTCCGACTCAATGTTTTTCCTGATTTCTCATTAAAATTCAAGGACTGGAGTGAATAGAATAGATTGTACTTACAGTCAACCTCGTGACTGATGAATTTTTTGGATCGGCTTCGATATCGACAGAAAATATTGTGTCGATACTCAGGAGTTTGAAGACCTGGGCAGCTACTCTCTGCCAAGTGAGATTCTGTGATTTCCATTCGTCTGGCTTCATTATTAGAGGCCATCCTCCAATCGTCTCGGTGATAGCTCGAATTGGGTCTACACCAGCTTTTTCAATCTCCTCTGTAATATTTCCAGTTAAAGATACGCCAGAGTCGCGCAGTGAATATTGTATAAAAAAACGAGAGTAAAAATTTTCATTCGCACGTTTTTTTTTTGTAAAATTCGGAAAAACCGTGGATTGCATTGAAATGAAAAAATAAAAGGTTTTCAGGTTCTATCATTATCCGATGACTTAGAGAGCTTCATCGTCGTGCGTCTATTTTTTTCTGTCAATTTTATCAGCCATTTCTCAGAAATTTGCAAAAATTCGGAGATATCAGCAATTGCACCAGTTAAAATTCATTTTTTAATTGAATATTTGTTAGAATAGAATAGATTAGAATAATAATTATTATTAATTTGTTAATTTAACTTCGTGTCCTACCGTCGTTCATGCATGCTCGATAGATCCTCCGTGATTTGCGCATTGCTTGAGTGTCACTTTCTGAATCTGCGGCTTTCAAAATAGCCGCGATTTTCGGTTGCAAATCCTGCGTAATGACTTGATAATTCGTCCACCTGTCATATCCATCAGCCATGGGATGATATTCAGTCCAGTGGCCACATGTATATGCGTAAAAATCGTCACATGGATTTTTTGTTTCGTCGAGACTTCTCAGTATGTCATCTCCTACGGTACAGAGAATTATTCAACAACTTTTACTTTTTATTTAATTTTATGAAGTGAAGTTTTTCACATTTTAGTTATAAAATTTACCTGGTCCAACAGGGGTATCCCGTTTCACAGGAAGAGAGTGCGATAATGAAAGAATCGTGAGAATGAAAATTCTGAAAAAAAAATTTATTCAGTGATTCATTCGGATTTAAGGGGCAGCCTTTTTCCAAAATTACCGGTTTTTTGAATTTCATAACTCCCGAAATTTCATGGTGGTGCAATAATTTCCTGTGTTTGTTGTAAAGTTTAATTAATTTTTTAGTCTTGATAAAACGCAGGAAAATGATTGCACGCTCATGACATTTTGGGAGTTATGAAATCATTGTGAAGTTCGAAACTAAATTCCAATCAACAATTTGTCACAAAACTAAGACAACCGGTCATTTTGGCTCTAATAGAGCAGAACATGGTAAATGATGGAGAAGTATTACATCGTGAAATTGTAAAAATTATACGCCCCGAAACGAAACATTGCGGAGAATTTTCTAACAAAGCTTCGGCGATTTCAGAATCATGTATGACTTCGTGACAAGAATTTTGCGCTTTATGTAATCGCTTGCAAAGCTTTCCGAGCCAATGGGCTTCACGTCTCCCCACACATTCCTGAGGTCACAATTTGTGATTCCAAATATTCATAAACTGGAAAATTCCCGTCGTACGATTTAATTTTTCGATTTTGTTTGCATTTCATAAACGGACAGAGAAGAAAAATTTAATTTCGCAGGTAATATCATCTTCAGGAATTAAGAATGTTCTGTCCTCTTTTAACCAGAAGAATTTTCAGACGAACTGTTGATTAAATTAACGCAAAAACTATAACATTTTCGCATTTATCTATAATTTAATTACTCCCAAAATGTCATGATCGTCCAACAATTTTCCGGCGTTTTTTCAAACTTTTTCCGAAAATCCGTAAAACGGAAAGGAGTAATTTTTTGATAACAGTAATGTGTGCGCACATAAAAAATCAAAATGCGATACAATTATTTATTTATTTTTCATTCAATATTCAGATTAACAATGCTATCGATATCAAGTATTTTTCAAAATCATCAATGAGTAAGACATTCAATTTATTTCCAAATATTGCACTTCTTCGATGGATTCATCACGGAATTGGCCGGGCAATTAAAAGCTGTGGCGAAGCCTTCGTTGTTGGAAACACTACCCATGATTCTCTGCCTCGCAGGACTGTGGACATCCGAGTTAGCAGATGTTCTAGCTTCCTCAGTAGAACACCACAGCTAAAAACGAGAAAGGATATTTAATCGAAAAACTTCTAAAGATTAAACTACAATCGATAAATATTTCAAAATATCTGGAAATTAATTTCTGTATCACTAACATTTGCGTACGCTAGGAAAAATATCTGATCATCAGTGAATTTCTCTAATCCAGGAATTTTATCACCACCGGTTCCTTGTTTTGTACGGAATAACTTGTAGGCGTCCCAGGCGAGCTCCAAGCCCATGGAGTCTGAGATGTTTTCCTCAAGCGTCAAATTTCCATTCAGCTGGAAGATAATGGAATTATAAGTTCAAAAGTATAAATTATGAATTGAACACATTACTTACGAATATGACTCCCTCCTCATCATCGAATAATTTATAACTGCTGAACTGATCGACGAAACACTGAGCGTTCTGATTGTATCTGTCAATGGAAGGTTGTGTCCACCACGTCACCACGTTACCACGCTTGTCATAACGACGACCTGACAGAATTGTCATGAAAAACCAGTAGCGAAGAGGTATTTTTAAAAATCATTATTTAATTATTTGTAATGAAAATATTCTTATGCGATTATTTCTGTTGTGAAATGGTGAACTACAAGTACATTTTTTCGAGGCGAGTTTTTCGTCGATATCTCGGAATTGAAGGACGATATCGATTTTTATACATAAATATTTTTTGTAGACAAATATGAGATCGATCGAAAAGGTATTTATGAAAATATTGATATCTCCCTTCAATTCCGAGATATCGACGAAAGACTGATCTCAAAAAAAATGCACTTATCATAGTTTACCATTTCACAATAGAAATAATCGCATAAGAATATCGTCATCATAAATAATCGAACAATCAATGATTTAAAAAAACAATTTTTGAAAAAACTATTGATTTTCTACCTTCACTGTCGAGGGCGTGTGAAACTTCATGACCTAGCATTACACCAGCCGTTGCATAATTGAAAATGCTAAAAAAAATTTCATTGTTTCATTGAAGAAATAATGTTCACAGCTCTTAATAATATCGCATTACCTTGGCCTGTGCAAGTCGAAAACAGGAGGTTGCAGAATTCCAGCCGGTGCCACTGCAATCAATTGTCTAAAAAAATGCCCGGCATTTGGATAATTATTTTAATACTTACGCATCGTATTCGCTTCTGCTATGTACACTGCGTTCACATCCGTGGGCTCAACTGGCCATCTGTAATCATTTCATTGCGATAAATAAATAATTTTGTTTCACGTAAAAACATTTTGAAAACAAGAAAGAATGATTTGTTCTGTATTTGTATTGATTTTCCATTGATTGAAAATTATCCTGGGAATTAATATTAAATATTCAGGATTTCCGTGAAAATTCTAGTTTCTTGTAAAATTCTCATTTTCCTGACGCATACGAATTTCACATCCTACTTACACATGTTTATCTGTTGGTTTATGCAATTGCCTCAAGAGAGTCTTCTGCTTCAGCTTTCGTTTTTCCAATTCATTCGCGAAATAATTCTCCGATGGCTGGAACTGCGGGAAAATGAAACAAAATCATAATCTTCAATTTCCAAATTTCTCAAAGATGTTCTGCCTCCATGCAATTTTCCTGCGTTTTTTCACAACTTTCCAAAAGTTCCTAAAACTTTAGAAAAAAACGCAGCAAAATTATTGCTCCGAAACCTAGGGAGCCGTTAAATAATCAGACCCGTTCTATTTTTTTCTGTCAATCCCATTGATAACTCGTCAGAAAACAACAAAAAAAAATGATAATTTTAACATCTTCAGTTTCGTATGAAAATTTACCTCTGAGAAATATTTATCCATTTGACTATTGCTGAAATAATCCGGATAACTAACAGACTTTGCCATCCGCTGAATTTTATCAATAGCAACATTTTTCGTCGCAGTATCGACCCAAGACGATCGTTCAATGACTCGCCCCATAGCATCTTTAATATTCCCCACCATATCAGTGACCTGTAAATAATAAAAAATGTAATCTTTTACTATATGGCACTCAAAAAATCCCCATTACCGTCTGTTTCGTCTCTGGGGATGAGTATTTGGTGGTAAACGCGTAAGATACAGCGGCTGCCATTTGAGAAGCAGACGAGCACTCAGCGTCTCTGGAAGGAAAAGAAAAGAATTTATAAATATTACTGATTTAATTATAACCAATTGCTGATTACCTGTCTAAAATCGGATCTACTCCATAAATTTAAGTTTAATTATAACCAATTGCTGATTACCTGTCTGAAATTGGATCTACTCCAACACGTGCATTAGTGAATAGGATCAATGCTGTTCTCAATTCCTCGTTTCCGTACACTACGGTATCCGAAACTACTCGCCACATGATGTAATTCACTGCAGAATTAAATTACTGAATAAGAATTATTGCAATATTATTTATACTATATTATTGTATTATAATATTTTTACGAAATGAAAGAGGGAAAAGTGAAAATATTCATTTTAGAATAATAAAAAATTCAAGATTATTATATATTATTATATATTATTATTGTTATTATTACTAAAATTACCGATAGTTTGGGATGAAGTTTTATCCAGCAATGCAGCAAGTTTCTTGAAATAATTCTTCGCGGGCGTAAGTATCCGCTCAGATCCATTGATTTCTATTTCAGGAGTTAACGCAAACACATCTCTGATCATTTGCAGCCAATTGATCTAGAAAATGTTCATTCAACCATTTCGTTATTGCAGTAAAGAAAATTTTTTTTTTAATTTTTTAAGTCTGTTGATTTTCGTTTTACCTGGGCAGTTGGATTGGTCGCTCCTGCGCTGTCATAGAGACTCTGGATCTCATCAATTGTCATGACATTATACCAGCTGTCAATTACTTTGACACTATGTTCCCCTTCTACAATCTAGGGCAGTAATTTGTTTATATTAATTGCACGTATCTGATAGAGATTCATCCCTTTGATTTTTTATGTTCGGTTTAAAAAAATATTCAGAGGTTTTACCTCTGCTAGTTCCTTCTCGAAGTTGCCTAATTCAGTTAATTGCTCAGCAGTAGTTAATCCTTCAGAAGATAAGCCTGATGCTTGCTGGAGTATATCAGCGACTTTGGATTTGTACTGATTGTAAGCCTCAACCACCGACTCACTTGCCGGATCTGTCAATTCAGTTTTTTTTACGGTAAGAGGTGGATCGCCAATCTAAAGTAAATCAGATTCACTCTAATTAATTAGTTTTTCCCTTCAAATGAGATATTTTTAATTAAAACAAGGCTTATTTTTTTAATCTTCATGTGAGTGTAAATGAGGATAAAGCGCAATAAATTGAGTAGTTACTGCAATGATGGGAGTATCTGCATCTTTATAATCTGGTTTTACATCGAAAGAGAATAGAGTGGGTGTTCCCAATGTTTTAAGAACTCTGGGAACAATTTTTTGCCACTGGATGTTCTTCGATTTCCAGTCTTCAGGTTTCATGAGCAACGGCCATCCTCCCTGTGCATTTAGCAGCGATAGGAGGGGGGCTGCACCCAGTTCTTCAATTAATGCTGTAATATTTTGATTGTTTAGAGGAATTTTCAATTTTTTTATGCGCAATTCGTACCTTCGTTCGTGCAAGCTCGATAAACTTTGCGAGCTTTGCGAATAGCTTCATTATCACTTTCCGAATCGTTAGCAGTCAAGAGAGGTTCGAGTTTTGGTCTCATGTGATCCTGGAGCATGTATAAATTACTCCACATAGGGTATCCTGGTATGGGAGGGTGATGTTCTACCCAGTGGCCACAGCTATACTTATAGAAATCGGTACATGGATTTGCTGTCTCATCGAGGGAATTCAGCAAATCTTGCACTGTGGAAGATAAGCTCAACGTTCGTAAAAAAAACTCCCGAAACAAACCTCCATTTTGTTTATAAGTTGATATTCCTATGGAAAGCGTCTAAACTGTTTTACATGCAAAAAATTTTTGATACATCCATTTCGAGATCAATGAGCATTACCTGTTGGAAGAAGATCGGCATCTCGTTTCACAGGAATCGATTGGGATAGAGAGATTAGCGCGAGTGTGAGAATTCTAGAAAAAATTACGATTCGCTGATGAAATTGAGAGTACAATTTAATTAATGAACTATTTATGAGAAATGGTTTATGAAATCGTTTTATATATCGTTTTTATTTTTAATTTAAGGACCGGTTGGAGTATCTCGGAAAGATAATTTACTCCAAAATTGGGATTCTTATTCTCTCCGCCAATTAATTGTTTTTCCGATAATTGTTAGCTAGCGTTCTAGTCGTTGACAACCGCTAGAACGCTAGCTAACAATTATTGAAAAAAACGATTAATTGCCAGAGTAATTAGGAATCCCAATTTTGGAGTAAATTATCTTTTCCAGAAAATCCAACCAGTCCTTAAAAAAAAATTTGAAAAATCCATAATTATGAAAATTTGTGAGGGATTGGGCCCAGAAATATACAAAAAATATGAAAAATTAAAAGATATCGAATAACTTCTTGAACGGATTTCTCTTTTTTTGCTTTTGTATAATTGTCCGTAACAAAATGAGCGATATTGTTTCTTTGCATGACGAATAAACACTTACACTTTGAAATTCAAAGAACTCCACATGTTGAACTGAAACATCGTGAATATCTCAGTAATGTCTCCACGCTGAACACATGTATGACTTCACTGTGAAAAAGCTCTCACTTAAATAGTCCCTCAAGCGCTCGAAGTTAGAAAAGTCAACTAAAGGTGATCTAGATTTGACCCACCTCATATTTTGTAATTTAAAATACCTTGTGGAAAATCCCACTTCCCGCTGTATGATAGAATATTTCAATTTTCCTTTGTCAAAACAGTGAATAAAGTCAAATTCAATTGTGCAAGTCTCACGCTTTGAAAATCTCATTATGAATATTATCTGCAGATATTTCTGTCATCTGATTCTTATATCATCTCTCATTTCATTTTCTATTTTTATTTTCTCATGCTTTAATTACTTCCGCGATTGTTCATTAATTTTCGGAATAATTGTCGAGCTGAGGATTTACGAGAGGAGATGGTCAATAAGAAAAATATTAATATGCAAATAGATTTAATAATCAACAAGTAAGATTTGTGTTTCAGGGAAACAGTGACAGATCTTCGGGTGCTAATGATTCAAGAATTTTCATTGCAATGAAGAATATTAATTAGTCAATGGGTTTTCGGTCGTTCGTAATTCGAATCATGAGGTCCACATGCTGCATTTATTTGGAGGATTCATCTCCGAATTCGCTGGGCAATTGAAAGCTGCTGCGAATCGTGGATTGTTTGATACAGCTCCATTGACTCTTTGTTTAGCTGGACTATGTTCATCCGTGTTACCGTATTTTTTAAGGTAATTCTCGTCCTCAGAGGAACACCAGAGCTGCAAATCAAACAATTCCACAATAAAAAATCCTCACGCCGTCTCCTTATCAATTTAGGAGTAAATTTTCTATTACTCACATTTCCAAACGCCATGAAAAATATTTTCTCTTCCGAGAATTGCTCCAGTCCTGGAATTTTTTCGGAATCGTTTCCCTTTTTTTCACAAGACATTTTGTACGCATCCCACGTAATTTTCAGACCGGTAGAGTCTGATATATTCTCCTCCAACGTTAGATTCCCATCGAGCTGGAAGAAAGAATTGAAATTATTTCGTTCAACAAGAAAATTATTCTGGATAATCCATCGTAAAATTGTAAACTCACACGTATGACCTCCTCCCCGTCATCATATATTTTATAATTACTGAACTGATTAACAAAACATTGTGCATTCTCTTCGTATTGGTCAATGGCAGGCTGACCCCACCAGGTCACCACATCGCCGTTTTTATTATAAAGACGACCTGCAATTATATTCCACTCATTAATGAACATAATTATTAATCACATGTATTTATTATTTACCTGTACTGTCGAGGGCATGCGAAAATTCATGACCAATTATCAAACCGATCATTGCGTAATTGAAAATCCTGGAAAATACTTATTATTCGTATCACAAAAGAATAATCTACATTAATAATTGTCGGACAAAATGGACCCCCTGATTGTTTTCGTTATTTTCTTTACAATGTCTTTCATGATTAATCATCATGAGAACAAGGGAAATTATTTTCAGGTGATCAATTTTGTCGTCTATTTTTTTTCCCAGTTGGATATGTATGTGGATATATTACTTTGGTCTGTCCAACACGAAAGCCGGGGGCTGGACTATTCCGGCTGGCACCACTGAAGCATTTTACGATCAGATCATGTTAAATCCCTCTAAAGTTTAAATAATTTTGTTAATACTCACCGATGTTGGTCGCTACTTGTCCATAAAATGCATTGATTTCGGTGGGTTCACTTGGCCACCTGTGAAGATCATTGAAATAAAAAATTCCAAAGAATACAGACAGAGCAATCAAGTAGTTATTACCGATATCTTCTTATTCTTCAGGTTCTCTGCAAATTTCTGAGAAACGGTTGATGATATTGACGTAAAAAAATATAAAAATATAGATTTTTGAATTTTATGATTAATTCATGTCCCACGAAATTTCATCGCTGGGGAAAAATATTTTTTCGTGTCAATCTCATCCGCGTTTTCCCAAAGATTTCTAAAAAAACCTGAAAAATTAGAAGATATCGGTAATAATTCTTTAATTTATGATTCGACTACATGTGGAAGACTTATTTATTCTATCACGTTTATCCAATCGATTTTACTTACTCCGATTTGTCCGTCGGTTTATGTAACTGTCTCATCATATGTTTCATCTTAACAGCTCTTTTCTGCAATTCATTCTCCCAGTAACTGTCAGATGGAACGAACTACACCAAAACGAAATCACAGAATGAGTTTCCAATAACCACTCTCAATTTTCAATGAATACTTTTACCTCTGAGTAATATTCATCTATATATTCATCACTGAAATATTCTGGATAGCTGATAAATTTCTGCAGATTCTTGATTTTATTAACAGCTAGAATTTTCGTGTCATTATCGAGCCAAGATGACTGTTCGATGTGCCTCTCCATAGCTTTCTGAATATTGTCCACCATCTCAGTCAACTGAGCAATATAGAAAAAATAACATAATAAATAAAATAATAATAATAAAATCAATGATAATATTCTTTTGATTTTTGTTACTTCTTGTTTGACTTCCGGTGTAGAGTATTGTTTAACGAATGCATATGCGACAGCACGATTCATTTGAGAAGAGCCGACACATCCATCGGCCCTAAAACAACCAACAAAAGCAACAAATAACTTCTTAACAGTAATTAATAAATTGCATTGCCCTGAAAAAGCCTTCTAACGTAAAAAAAAGAATCAAAAATGCGAACTCGAGTTTATTCTCTTAATTTTCTGTCAACAAAAAAATGAAAATCAATATGATTATCACAATTTCTCTCACCTATCCGGGATAGGATCAACTCCAGAGCGATGCCGATAGAAAGTTAGCAGTGGATTCAATATCTCACGCGTCATATATAAAGATATATCAGGAATTGTCGCCCACAAGATATAATTCACTGCAACGATTAATTGGCAATTAATCATTCGTCGAATATCACATGATTAAAATTTTTTCGTATTCTATTTATCAATCATCTCTATGATGCGAGATTTTACCGATAGTCTCCGGTGGAGTTTTATCCAGCAATTGAGCAAGATTGTATATGTAATTTGTTTCCGGTACCACAATCTGCTCTGATCCATCTATTGTGATTTCCGGTGTGAGTGCGAACACCTCTCTGATCATCTCAAGCCAATTAATCTAAAAGAAATCGACTCGATACTTTATATATTCCATCAGTAAGAGACAGAATTGAACTGAGAATATTACTTTGGCAGTTGGATTGGTGGTGCTTGCAGTGTCCCAGAATTCCTGTAAGTCATCGATCGTCATTATATTGTACCATTCGTCGATCTCCTTAAGATCTTGTTGTCCAAGTGTTATCTAAATATGCAATCGGTAAATTAGAATTATTGCGTTTTCGATTGAAATCTCATTTAATTCCGATTAAAAATTCATTTTAATTCATACTTCTGCCAATTCCTTCTCAAAACTGTTTAGCTGCTCCCACTGTTCTCTCCTAGATTCTTCTTCAGCCGATCCATCGATCGGATTTATTGCGCTTTTAAGTTTGTAAGATACTACTCTCTTATAAGTTTTGTAGGCCTTCGCTGCTTCATCATCATCAGGAGCATTTAGCTCGGCTTCTTTGACGACGAGACCTGGTTCCGAGACCTAGACAGAAATTATTAACAATTCATCTATACACCTGAAAGAAATGGCCAAAAGGAATTGACTGTTTACGGAAAGTATTATCTCCGACGAGTTCTTGGAGTTCGGCGATACTTCCAGGAGGAACAACGCTCCCTTTGCAAAAGTTCTGAAGACTTTCGGGTATATTTCCTGCCAAGAAATATTCTTGGATCTCCATTCATCGAGGTCCATAATCAGGGGCCATCCACCGTACTCGTTGAGCATTGATATCACCGGCGCCAGACCATCATTTTTAATTTTATCTGAAACACTTTATCTTGTCGCAGATTTAATCATGATAATGAAGAATTCTTAATCAAATTCAGTACCTCCGTTCATGCAGGCACGATAGACCTTCCGAGCTTTACGAATCGCTTCGATATCGGTCTCTGAATCCTCTGCTTTCAAGAGTGATTTTATCTTTGGCTTTACCTCATCATCAATTTCATTCATATTTGTCCAGGTTAAGTATCCTGGCTTTGTCGGATGATATTCTGTCCAGTGGCCACACGTATATTTATAAAAATCGGTGCATGGATTCGCTGAGTCGTCCAGTGCGGCCAACAATTGGCTAGCTGTCAACAAATTCAATATTATCAAGTGAATATTCATAACTAATAATGAAGAAGTCTATTAACTATTCACAAATTAAATGTTAATGAGATTTATAATTTGTATATAGAATAATATTTACCCGATGGAGAAGGCGTATCTCGTTTCACAGGAGCTGATTGGGAGATGGAAATCAACGCGAGAGGGAGAATTCTGGAAATTTTGAGGCAGTCATGAATATTAATGGATAACGTGTGACAGGATTAATGAACACTCACATGTAGAAAATGGAGCAGCTCCATTTTCTGATCCAAAACATTGTGGATGCTGTCTAAGAATGTCTCAATGATCTCAAGAATCTATCGGTTTTTGCGAAAGCTTCTGCGCGAGTGGTAATCCGTCAAGCTTTGGCAGCTAATAATACTCAGCTAGGAGTGACCTAGGTCATATTTCGCAATTTAAATTATCCGTGGGAAATCCTATTGTCTCACAATATTCCAGTTTTCCGCTGTTTGCAGAGCATTTGGAAACTGACCCGTTGCTGATTGCAATTCAAACGCACTGTAGAAGGTCAAGAATAATCAAACAATGATTATGATCATTAATTAAGCAAAATACCACTGCTGGTGTCAATACAGCAAATCAATATTTTTTATCGTTAAAAAGGAAAGAATTTTTGAATTTCTGAGGATTGATCTTTGACATCTCTGACATCTTTTTAATGTTTCTTCAATTCATTTTCGCCGTTAGATATCAGATTATTTTTCAAGTGTTTGGACGGGTATTCAATAAATATCAAGATCTCGAATTAAGTTTTATAATTAGGTACAATTGGAATATTACAATATTGAAATGTACAAGAGATGAATATTCTACTCATTTGCGATTTCGTATTTATTCCCAAATGTTACACCTGTGGTGGGGATTCATCGGCGAATTATTTGGGCAATTAAAAGCTGATGCGAAGTTCTTGTTATTCGATACAGCACCATTTACTCTCTGCTTGGACGGACTGTGGACATCGGTATTCGCGTATTTCTCTAGGTACTCCACGTCCTCCGATGAACACCAGAGCTGATGATAAACAAATTCCATTTGTTATTACACATTTTTCATAAATATTGTCTACACAACTCACATTTCCAAACGCCATGAAAAATAGTTGATCGTCAGTGAATCGTTCTAGACCGTAAATTTTTTCAGCAGGGATTCCGTTTTTTTGACGGAAATTCTTGTACGCATTGAAAGTAATGGCAAGTCCTGTAGAATCTGCTATATTTTCTTCCAAAGTCAAATTTCCGTTGAGCTACAATAATATCATTATATATATATCCATTCTCACCCGTTCACCTCCTCAGGATTTCATAATTATATTCGTTTTGTAATAAAATTGTAAATTATCGATGGGACTAAACAAATAGAACAAATTTGCCATTTCTAATTTTTGAATGACTCACGGATTTTCTTGATGATACGATGATTCTCATCTTTTTTCTACAATTGAGTAATTTCATTAAAAAATTTTGAAAAAAACTTATGATTCACAAAATAATGACAAAATGTAAAAACGTAATATTTTTTCTAGTCAATCGCATTATAAGTTTATCATAAAAATAAAAAACATGAATTCTTGCAGCAATGGTCCTTATTAAATATTAACATCGTTAATAATAAAATAATTAGCATAACTTACGTAAACACCGCCTTTGGAACTATCATATAATTTAAAATTGCTGTACTGATCAGCAAAACACTGTGCGTTGTAATTATATCTATTAATTGCAGCCGATTCCCACCAACGTATCGCATTGCCATTTTGATCGTAACGACGACCTGAAATAATAATAATAATAATATTCTTCCTCACAAATGTTCTACGATTCAATTTAAAAAATGGTCCCGTGGGATTACCTTCGGTATCGAGGGCATGCGAAACTTCGTGACCAATTGTCGAGCCCATCATCGCATAATTGAATAAACTAAAAAATCCATTGTCCGAATTGTGGTAATAAATAAATAAATTGCAGAGTTTCATGTGATTCTTATTGAAATAAATTACCTGGGTCTATTTGGATCGAAAAGAGGGGCGTGAAGAATCCCCGCGGGTACCACTGAAAGATATTCCCAATTACATGAATAATATTTTTTTTATATAAAATAAAACATCAATATAATTTAAATAAAATTTTAATACTCACGCATGGTGTTCGCTGATTGTCCATAAAATGCGTTAATTATGGTAGGCTCCACTAACCACCTGTGGAAATAAAAAAAAAAATTGAACAAATTCACCCCAACAAAATATGAATAATTAATCTTGTAATATTTGAATTCCCTATAGACCAATTTCCCGTACTTTCTTTTTTCCGGCGATTTACCCAAACTTCTCAAAAGTTCTACAAGCATCAAATGAGTCTTCTGCAGTTCATTCTCCAAATAACTGTCTGTTGCTTTAAACTGCAATCGAATGAAAACAGAATGAGTCATTCGTGGAATATAATACTATAAATTTTATTATATGAAATGAATACTACCTCCTTGTAATAATGATCTATGCTTTCAGCGGTGTAGTCATCCGGATGACTGATGAGCTTCGTCATATGATAGATTTTATCACTAGCCAACTGCTTGGTCATATTACTCAGCCAAGAAGATTGTTGAATCTGCCGCACCATAGCTTCTTGGATGTTCTCCACCATATCAGTCACCTAAACCAACGATTGTATCGATTAAATCGATCTATGATTTCCTTTTTAATTTATTTCTCTTTAGATTACCGCTTGCTTCATCTCCGTTGAAGAATATTTCTTAACGAATGCATAAGACACTGCTTTAGCCATCTGAGAGGCGGCTACACAATCATCTTCCCTGTTGCAAAAATATATAATAAGAAATGAAGATAATCGTCAATTAATTTAAATTTTATGCTACATGAAAAAATCCTGAAAAATCCTGAACAGAAGATTCTTGATTGGAATTCGCAGATAACACTGACCTGTCTCCAAGGGGATCTGCTCCGATGCGATGACTAATGAAATTAATCAAGGGATCAGTCAAAGCTTTACTCGAAAATGGAGTCAAATCCACAATTGCCTTCCACATTATATAATTCACTGTAATAATAATTATTGAATCAGTTCAGTACTACAATATCACAAATTACTACAATACTTTAAATTCTCATGGATTTTTGTAGAATTTGTATACAACTCCAATAGAATTGAAGAAAATCAATTCTAATTAGCAGAGATAAGGGATAATTAACGATAACTCTATCCTAAAAATTCCTTTATATTTTTCTTCTTGGAGAAGTTATTAGTTACCGATGGTCGCTTGTGAAGTTCTGCCCAATAATGCTGCAAGCCTTTGAAAATACGATTTTCCCACTACGATGATTTTTTCTGATCCATATATTCCAATTTCGGGAGCCAATGAGAACACTTCAGCGATCGTCTGAAGCCAATCAATCTGGAAGGCATTCACTCAGTCATCTGGCAGTAGCCGTGATTGCGAGTAATTACTTTGATACTTACTCTGGCAGTCGGTTGAGCCATTACAGCCTTGTCATAAAAATTCTGGAACTCATCGATTGTCATCAGATTGTACCACTCATCAAGTTGTTTGACATTATATTCACCGTCAGTAATCTGCAATAATAACACAATTATTTGGAATCAGTGAATTCCCGATGAGTTCATACCCGAATCAATTTTTTTTCGAAATCGTGGAGATCTTCCAGCTGTTCTGCCATTGTCAGACCCGGGGGTTGCGGAGACCCTTTCAGAAGGACACTAGCTACTGTGCGTTTATATTCTTTGTACGCCTGAATCACGGGATCACTGTCGATAGAACTCATTTCAGTTTTTTTAATGACAGTTTTTGGCCCTGAAATCTGGGAGAAAATTGCCAGTCAGATCAAGTCTTGTGTAAGTCTTCAGTTAACGAAAGGGAGAAATCATTTACTGCGATCCTGTGAATCGACGAATTTTTCATGTCTGGTACAACCTCTATGGCGAACAATGGATCGATGTACAAACTCATAATCATTTTAGTATTTATATTTTGCCATGAAAGGTACTTGGCTTTCCAAGCTTGAGGATTCATTATCAATGGCCATCCTCCAAATTTCTGGAGAAGCAGAAGAATCGGCGTTACCCCTTCCACTTCAATTTTATCTGCAATATTTACAAACAATGCGAGTAATTAAAATAATTAGAATAATTAAAATCGCTACACTACAAGAATAACTTTCTTCTCAAACAATTTTTTATTTCATCTTATTCCTATTTATTATCTATATTTTTTAAAAATCGTTTTTCTTCCGTTTTCTTTCAATTGAAAAGACATTTATTTAATAATAATTTTTGTTTGCATTTATTACCTCCATTCATGCAGGCTCGATAAACCTTCCGCGCTTTGCGAATCGCTTCATTATCAGTTGGTGAATCATTTCCATTCAGCAGAGATTGTATTTTCGGCTTTATTTCGTTGGCAATGACGTCCCAATTAGACCATATTAAATACCCTTCCTGGATAGGATGACGGTTATTCCAATGGCCACATGTAAATCGGTAGAAGTCATCACAGGGATTAACAGATTCATCCAGAGAACCCTTCAAGTCATTTGCTATGGCAGCTAGACTAATTGTCCTTGAAAAACCACTCAGGAACGGATTATTATGTACTACCGGTGTGACAGGCAGTGATTGAGATAATGGAATCAACGCAAAAATTAAAACTCTGAAAAAATTACGATTAAAAAATAATTGTCAAATTCACTATTACAATTATCAAAAAAAAATATTTTGTACCGCAAATATATAATATATTATTATATACTATTATTATTCATTATTATTATATTTTTCGTGTTGATAGGGTAACACGACTAGTAGATGATTAATAATTCGTTATCTATTTATTTAAAAATGTCCATCGGGATGAAACGACTGTGAAATTATTAATAAATTTTATATATTTTGCATATATACTTTTGCATATATATTTTACATATATTTCCATGTGGATTGACATGAATTGATATGAATGATGAATTATTGATTTATGAATTATTGTCACTCACATGTTTAAAGTTAATAAATTACACCTGCTGGACTGAAACATTGCGGAGAGTCTTTTAACAATGATTTAACGCTGCCCCGAACATGTATAACTTCTCATCGGGAAAACTACTTCTTAAGTAATCCCTCAAGCTCTTAAAGCTAATAATGATCACGTCGACGTGAACTAGAGGTGACCTGGGTCATATTTTGTAATGTAAATACGTAGTCGGAAATTACGACGTAGTGTTGACAATAATTCAATTTTTCCTTGTTTTCACTGGTCATTGAATGATGGACAGTCTCACGTTCATGGAACTGCAGGCTTTCGCAGAAAATAAAGTCATCAATTATTTCATTTCCACATTGTTATTAATTACTCTTCCAAGTACAGGGAAGGAAGTTTTTTGCGGTGTATCAAGGAAGACTTCCATTTTGATTCATTTATAGTTTATTATTTTTTATTATAATTTATTATGATGAGGGAGGGGGACAACTGGATTTTAAATGATAAGTCATGGAAATGGAATATTAATCAGCATGGGTAAATCGACTTGTTACGGTTAATTACGTTATTATTGCATTAATTTTTTATTATCCCTTCCGATTGTGTTTCGATTGTACAGACAGATTAATTTTGAATCATTTGCCGCACCGGAAATTTCGGTGGAGAAATTAAAAAATGAAATTTTCACTCACATCCTCTGAAATGTTACTCGATTAGAACTTGAAATTTTCTGAAGAATTCCGTAGGACTGCTGTTTTCGATCCATCAATTGTGATTTCCGGAGTCAATAAGAATGGTTTCTTAATTGTCTCCAGCGAATTAATCTAGAAATTAACTCATTAAATCGTTCAAAAGAAATTCGGAGCGAAAGAAATTGAACTCGATTTTCCACTTTACTTTCACCGTTGGATCTATCATGCCCAAACCGTCCCAAAAAGCCGCGACTGACTCCTCTTTTTTCAGGATAGCATTGGGCTCGTCGAGCTGAAAGGACATGATCAATTAAAATATTATTCTGATCATCTCCATCGATAAAACGATTGGTTAAACTTCATTTGCACATCTACGCATATTTTCTCTTTTTGTGTGGATCATTCATGTTCAGGATATAAATAATAATAGTCATATTCAAATGATGATTATAATGATTTATTAGCCAAAATGGCACCAGAGTCATATAATCGTGCTCCACTTACGCATATACATACTCCAAGTACTCGCATTAAAATTACTTCCATAAATTAATTATCGTACGCCTCAACTCGAAATAATCTACAGTGCCTATCGTACTAAATCAAACTTCAAAGCTCGAGCCAAAATATAATTCGTGGATTATGATTGGCGTGTGCGTGATCTTTGAGGCCTTTACAATCATCACTGAATCATTTTTTCATACTCAACTGTCTCCACGATTGATCTCGTGAGAAAGGAAGAGGGAAATTGTATATTTTCCTGTTATGACTCTGAAAATAAATCGAAAACGAAGCAATGGTAAATTATCTATTACGTATACAACAGTCGTTCATTATCTCTTCAACTTCACATCAATTCCGTCAGGCCTTTACAGTCCCATTGAGCAAGACAATGAATAACGAGCTTAATTCGACGAGTCGTTATTAATTACTTTAATCATAAAGCTTTCAATTGAGAAATCGCTGTTCTACGTAAGTGGAAATTTCTGCACCATCGCTCTATGCAATGAAGTTAATGCAATTAAATTTAAATTTTTCATTGAATATTACATTCGTTTTACAGGAACAGGATGAAATTAATTCAGAGTCATTTAAAGTACCTGAACAATTTTAATTAAATATTAAAAAATAATGGGCACCGCCATCTTGCTTGCATCCACCATTCCATTGCGAAAATGGTTGTCAAGATGGCTGCGCCTCCACCTCGTATTTTGAAACAATTATTAAAATGACTTATCCTCTCTGAATCACTTTGGGCTCGTTGCATCTTGTTCCTATGAAATGAACAAATCTTTAACCCCATTTGTAGAAATTTCTTTGCTTTTCTGGCAGAGAATTCCTGGAGCAATGTTTACTTCGCATTTGGTCAGAACTCAGAACTCAGAACTCAGCCGTGTAAATAAACAGTTGTGTTCGGTGCCTGATTTTGATCACATATTTCTCAATCAAAATGCTCAAAACACCGAATTTTCACATGAGGATACCGATAACTGAGAAATACTGTTACGCTTGTGATGTCCTGCGACTAGAGTTTGCTTCCACATTAAAGCGACAATTAGGCAGTTTTCACGTAATCAAATGGGAATGGGATATTTTTTATAATCATGCTCCTTATTGAATGGATTTTCTTTATTTGAGCGATGGAAACACCCCACTGATTCTTTATGACCCTTCTACAACTCACATTTCTGTTATTAATTAAACTACATTGATAATGTTGCAATTGAAAAATCAGAGCGCGTGACTCAATCAACTCAACATTAGTATACAATTCATGGAAACCTTCATTAGTAGTAAAATGTCATTCTTATGAGAGAACAGACATCTCTGAGTGACATCGAAGATGTGATTTGATCGAGCTTGTCTTTAAAAATAAAAATATCTCAATACTGAAATTAATTACAGATGTTATTCATTAACACATAAATTATTCAGCATTTCCAACTATTTACGGATGCATATTAAGTCATGTACGAGGCGGAGAATTGAGAACCCAGTAATTAGTTCCTCGCACTGTTTATCGTTGTAACTCATGATATCGGATTAAAATTTAATCATTAAATACATGTTGACGCCGCAATAATCGACATAATACTAGAGGGCAAAATAAGAAAGGAGAGATAATTAAACAGAGGAATATTAATTTGGGCTCGCAACTGCAACCTGAGGTATATTTTGAGTGTAAAATTTCAGTCATCGGGCGTTTGTTTTTTTTTTTCGTTTTCTTTCATTTCATTAAAAAATTACGCTCGCACTCTCACGCATACACACAATAAGGAAAAGGGAACTGAAGGAAATCAATGGAAGAGAGTTGCTTGTATGTACATAATCGAGCTATACAATTTTTGCTTTGCAGTATTTATTTTTCCCTCTCGAACGCGGCGAGAGTGCGACAAAATGGAGACTCCATAACTCCCCCAGAATATTCATAACTCACCAAAAAGCTGATGGAGCTGATAGAAAAAAGATTATTTCAGTTCCGTCGAGGGAACACTCTAGAGATATTCTTCAAGCCCTCAAAGCATTTGATCTCTTCGTTATTTAAATATATCGAGGAGCATGACGTGTCCACTTTGCCAAACTTTTCCCCATGTTCTCCATTCATATTGTTGTTTTTTCATTGAACAGCACTCGTGGAATGCCTGTCCCTCAAATTCAGTGCTGGAATGGAATTAATGCAAAAGTAAACACCACAATCGAGTAATATCATTCAAAAGAAAAAGAACTTTTGTATTTAAAGTACATAAAATAAACGGGAACCAGTCACTCACAGCGGACTCTCCTGACAGTGAAAGGAAAAAAAAAATCGACACACTTCATTAATATTACAAGTTATCTTAAGCAGATGGCAAGTGTTTGTGCGATTGGGATGTTTACGATAAAATAAAATACACACACTGGGTTTCAATAATTCTTAGGAGCTACAGTAAATATTACTCGGCACATCGGCTCGTGGTTGAGATCCTTATTTGTCATTGTGCCATAATTTCATTATATGTACAATTCACGATACAAAATAATGTTTCGCATCTAATTCGTTGCCATTGAATGAACAGAAAAAACACATAGGAAATATTTTCGCACATTCTCAAAGTGAACAAAATAAATTTTTCAAAAGTTCATAATTCAGTTCATAATTAATGGAAATAATTCAAAGCAACAAACGGAATGACTCATTGTCAAGGAGCGCAATTTTGTAACTAAATTCTTGAGTGTAATAAAAAAATAAATCGACAGGCAATGCCACAGTGCTCGAACGTTCACATCGAAAAGATCATCACCAGCTGTTTGCACTGCATCATTCCTCTACATAATCCACAATTTGTTTTTCTTTATTTTCCTTAAAATAGTCTACTCTAGGGTTGTATAAATATCTTCGACATCGAGCACGGTTTGAACTTAAAATTTCATCGGAGCCATTCAGCTTTACTCCATCTAAAAAAAAACTCTCAGGCTGCTCTTAGTTGAATGGGAATAAGAAATGAGATAAAATATGGAGAGACCAGACAAAAGAGCTGCTTCGCAAGAGCTTTAACGCAGCACTCGTGAGTGATCACAAGGAAAAAGAGCTATTAAAAGTATAAGAGCATTCAAAGAGACTTTTCATAGAATCAGGGAACATTGCGAATGATTAAATAGTATTGTCATTAAAAAATATCGTCTTTCTCCCGTTGGTTTTGGCATGCTCCTGTTTTTAGTGATATTTATCAGAGTTTTTTTTATTGGGAGATGGAATCAGGGGATGTCCTTTGTTCCTTCAATACTGATGACTGATATTCTCGATTGTTACTGAGAATAATTAATTCGCTATGAGAGAATCGCACGCAATCGTTTCCAACGAGTTTCCCACAGCAGATTGTGATTCTTCCCTGACATCCATCTCAAACCAATATCATTGATCTTAGCACGCTTATCTGATGATTTAGCGGTGAACTCATCATCAGTTGAATGTAAAATCCTCACTGCCGATGACAGACGTAACTTACTCGCTGGTGTACTGAATACAAATCTACGATCTTGTCGATTAATGTTGCTATTGTTACTGTTAACAATCAACTTCTGACGACTGTTACTCGTCCCATGCAATTGCTTTGTCTTACGTGTGTAATCAATACGATGTGATTTAGCCATGGATCATTGTCGATATGCCTGGGGTGCTATTCCATTACCAGGTGTCACGTAATCACCAATCATCAAACTTGGATTCACTGGATAATGGGACGTATTTCCAAGTACCAGCGATTGCTGGAAAGTAACACCAAGCTGTAGCCGCGATTGATACGCAGGCAGGATTATATGATTTTAGTATCATCATATGATCGCTAATGGAAAAAATTCATACTTGACTCTTCCAATGAGAATGGAGAATTGTTTCTAATTAAATTGACAAATTTTATTTAAATATCTGATAATAAATCTCGGAATCAACACCTGAATCAGTACCTGACATGGGAGTCAATTGTATGAGACTTTTTTAATTAGATATGATTGCAATTACAAACTCCTAGGAGAATAATGTTAATCCAGGGGAACTGGATTATTTTCCTCCAGTTTGTCGTTCTTCTTTTATTGTTGATGAAAAAATTGAAGATTACGAATTCTGTAGAATTGATGAGTGAGATAAGTTAATCAATACTTACAGTTGCTGGTGATGTGAACATATTTGGTGTTATTCCACCACCGATAAGCTGAGCAGCTTGGGTACTTGTTGCTGTACCACCAATTCTACCTCTCCCAGTGCTCGATATTGAGCCCGGATGTATATTTGGCTGACCCCCTGTTACACAAGCAAATTAAACTGTGTAATACTCATGGCAAAAAATGAAAATAACAATTTTCCAAGCATTCAAACGAACTCAATCATTGATAAAACTAAATTATTGATAAATTAAAATCTGGGAACATGCGAGGGAGATAAAAAGGCAATCACCAAGCAGACCAATTACCAAGTGAATCAAGAAAATTTTCATTACTCTCGTGATTAATTATTATCAATGAGCCGTTTATTGACACGGATTTTTTTTTCAGTCTTACAAACTTACAGATTATCATTATCACAAGGGAATTATCGATGAAAAATATTTACAAACAATGAGTTTTTCGTTATTTTTCTTTTTTTTTCTCGTGATTACACATACGTCACATTCTACAAACATAAGGATAATTAAAACAGGAGCATGGATAATGGATAATTATGGGTTATCATAGCATTTCGAAAAAGAAAATATGAGTAATCGTCCTAGTAAAGATTTTCTATTGCCCCCATGTCTCATGATGAACATAAAAATTTGTGAATGGAACAAGACTTGATGAATCTATAAAAACTGTGTCATAAAATTCAACGCATAATTTTAATTCCCTCGATGAAAGCAGTTTAAATACCACGTGTCACTGCCTCTCGGCCTAAATCTACACAATAATTTCACAATTTTTTATTTGCTTTTGCGATGAATTTCTTTCGCACTTTGTCTACTTTCTCAGTCACGATTTAGGACGGATGATCTACAGAACAATACAACCGTCTCCATGACTTGTTCAATCAACAAAACACTACGAATTACATCGTTCAATTGTCAGCCGGGGGAAAATAGCATTCATTTATTGCGGATTACCTTTTAAATACGTCAAACTCTACTAAAGGAATATGCCAGTATCTAGTCTGAATGTTCAATATATCTTTTCGCATTTTCTTTTATTATGTTTTATAGAGAGTAGTGGTACAACGAGGGATCAAGGAAAACCTTACCTAGAGCTAGTAAATTACTAGGATTGACAGCACCAGGTGTGTCCATTGACACTTCACCAAGACCATTCACTGACATTCCGTTGACCATGTTGACAGCCTGACGAGCTCCCTGTGCATCCAGTGTTGTCCAGTACGATTCACTCGGTGATGTGCTGTTCAAACCTGATGGCAATTGTGCAACAGCACCAGTATACCTGAAGTAGGGATTTTTCAGGTCCAGTGTATTACTACTACTCTCCATGTTCGTTCCCTCCAGTTTTAAGTCTATTGTTACATCATAGGATTGTCTGAAAATGAAAATAAATCATTAGTACATCTGATTGTTCGGCTTTATTTGTTGTTTGGCTTGTTTTTTAGATAATGTAGATGGAGATTTTACCTTTTGTTAGCTACTAAAATGACCTTCCCTGAGAGCAATTGTCCACTCTTGCAGAATAATGGATTCTCCAGGAGACAACGGACCTGGTACCAGTGGGTAAGTGGCTCTGTTGGAGCTGTACTTAACCAGACTTGTTGAGTGGAACCGATAAATGCAACGTCAAACCAGAATGCCAGACCGTGGCAAGTGCCACTCTCGAGTATATGAAAATCAACGTCTATTTCTGTGAAATCACGGTTTAATTGCATTAATCATTCATTTTCATATCACTTCATTAATATTTTAAATAGATTCAATATAATTGTTATGAATCTATTCTGCACATGTATGCATTGTAACATAAAGTATTTTATTAATCAGGTGAAACACATTCAAAACTTTTCTGTCATTTCCATTTTCTTCTGCGTCCCTTGTTTCCAAGATGAATGCGCAATAATGGAAATGTAGCGTATGATTTATTACTTTCTACCCCTCGAGTATTGATTGTATACTTTTCTAATTTTTTTTACTCAATTTTTTATGTGACACAAGACATAAAAAAACATAAGAAAATTCATGAGTTCAGAAGAAAATGTCTAGATTAAAAAAAATTGTTATGCAATTTGCTTGAAATTCATGAGAAAAGTTCTTATGGATTATTTTTCCCGGGGATTTACCGAGTTAATTAGCATCAAATCTGAGTTACCTATTTTGTGTAAATCAGTCTCGTCAGCAGTTTGGAAGTCGACAACGTGCCTGACGGATTTGGCCATGCAAATGCGAATATCAAATGTATCAACAATTGGCTGTCGGAAGTATTCTTTAATAGCACTATTTCGTAGAGAGGATAAATCAACACCGTGGAAACATGTTTGATACCAGAAGTTTGCTTTGTTGAACTGCTCCATGTAGAGGGTTTCGTCGGAGAATGGGGCTATGTGGAGGTCTCCCCTAGAAGGGAACATGCGGCCTCCTGGATAATAATAAATATTAAAAAATTAAAGACCTGCTAATACTTTGCTGTAAAAATAATGAAACAATTCTATTTCCATGGCAATTAAATGCAGCGATATTGTAATTATGTTATTGAATTTATTGATTTACCTGGAACTAGCCACTTTTTAGCATGCAGGTAGGTCTCCAACATTCTCTCATTGTACAGCATATATCCCATTGGCTCACTCACAATGCAGTCAACGTCCTCGGGTAACTCAATCTCCTCAATTTTCCCAGCAATGACAACAATCTTATCTGACAGATTATTAGCAGCCACAAGTAGCTCAGCATGATTAGCCATATTACTCGCCTCAACGGCATAAACTATTTTAGCTCCCGCTTGAACGGCAAAAAATGACAGAATTCCTGAGCCAGCACCGACATCCAGCACAATCTTGTCTTTGAAATCCGACAGATTTCCCAATATTGCTCGCTGGTAGGTACTCGTTCTTATGTAGTCCTGCATCATGTTTTGTTGTTGAGATAAATAACCGTAGAATTGGAAATACTGCATTGCTGAGAGATCCTCGGTTCTCTCGTTGAATGCCGAGACACCTTTTCCATTTTTCAGCTTGAGAATTTGCGAGTGGAAACCTCGAAAATCTAGGAATTTTTCGTTATTTAGTTTCTAAAATTTTTCTTTTTACTCGTTCATGATTCTTTCGTGAAAATATTCATTACCTGATTCGGTGGAGAATGTCAGGAGGATACTCTCGGTGTCTAATGTGAATACATAACTTTTTGTCGCCACACGAGAACATTCTGTCGTGTGGGTCACGGGAAATTCCAATAATTGCTTTGGCTGCTTCTCAGTTGGCTCCTCTGCAATGTCATCATCAATAAAGATACCAGCTCCAATGTTCAAATGTCATTTTTTTGGGATAAAATTTGATGAAGTGGTAGACCGTATCAATACAATTCAATTTTTTCGATCACATCAAATGGGAAATAATCACAGAAATCAGCAAAAATTGGCCACGATATTTATTTATATTCATTAATAATCCATAACTTTATCGAATTATACTCGTTATTATACTAAATAAGATCTATCGCAGGATTGTCTTTTTAATGTTTTTTTGTCGTATTCTCAGAACACATTTCTTCCGGAATTGGAAGTGTGTTTCTGTTTTGATAATGCATCGGTCTTTTACGTGAATTCACATGTCGTAATGATACGGAAATTAAATTATGGTCAGCGATACTAGCACTTCAGTATTGAATTATTCATATATTTCTTACTCTTTTATAACTATTAGTACATTGAATTTTTAAGCGATAAAAGTTCTTACTTTCAGATGAAAAAGTGATTTTTTTGGTGAATTGGTGGTTTGATAGAAAAGTTTAATCATAATTATCAATTTCAATACACGAGGAAAAACTGAATATTCTATTAATTGGCAGGTCGACAAAGCAGGAAAACAATGGAATATTTGCATTGTAAACAGCAAGACTCTCGAAATTTTTGAAAACTGTCACAATTTTATTCAAATCCCCAAAAAATCGATCCACAAATATTGAAATATAAAAAATCCCCCCAAGACCGTGCAAAATCAAAATAATTTTCCAAGGACTGATCCCTACCCGAGATTCCATTCTTCGACCAAAAGGAAGACGAATAATAAGCCACACCGAAAAAAAAAATTACACCATCAATACCTAAGGAAATGCCCAAATCCCAGGTAAACACCCACAATATCAGTGCTAAAAATCAACATATTCCTTAACAACTAAATAATCCCTCCAAAAATGTTATTTAAACCGATACAACAACAGTAATAATTAAACCCTGGTCCAAATTATTTTCTCCACGTTTAACCGACAAAGGAGTGAATCCAGGCATTTCGAAGCACCTGCCCAAACCAATGATGCCCTATGGGACTCTCCCCTGGGCATGAATGAACAACTAAAAAAAAATAATAATTCCAAGGCATAAAAACATGCTGTAAAAATGCAGAAATGCAGAAATAGATAAATAAATAGAGATACGAGAGTTGAATTAAAGTGGATGCGTCCGGCGTAATGAATTGTGGTTAGGTCGCGTCTCCGTTGGCGATAGCTCTGGCCAATATCGATCCAAAAACACAAGCCCATTGTAAGAATAAAGCCAAATGAATTACCTGATATAAATTCAATGCTGATTCCTTGTGGATCGTAATTGATATTGAGTCCTACCGGCTTATCGTATTTCGGCGTTGACTGTCCATTGTTTGACAAAGTCGATACTGTCACCGCGCGAAATGCCTTCGCCATTTTTAGACACCGCGTGCTTTTTTGTGCGCCTCCAGTCTCGTAACCTTTCAGTATTGCCCTCGGACTCGTTTCCCGGTTTTTCTCCTTCCCCCCAAAAAAAAAAAATATTATATATATTAATCCCACCCAAATGCCAACACTGATTGTCCGTCCTGAACCACTTGGATTCCCCTCGACGCTTTTTCGTTTTGCCTCGGCGCGGGGGAAAAAAGTGATTTCGAGTTGGTGAAAATAATGGGGAAAGAAAAAAAAAATTGCAACAAAACACGGATTTTTTTTTTCCTTTTCCTTGTTTTATTTTGGGGGGGAAGCCTCGAAACGAGGGAATGTGAGAGAGCAACAACGGTTGTTGGTTGGACTACCGGGAAATAGTAAAGAGCCGAAGAGGAATCGTGAGATTTTTTGGAGTTACAGACCAATCCAACCACCCCCGGGTGCCTTTTCGCACACGCGCACTGTTTACAACACCATCACCACCCATCACCCCCCTGTAGCACTAAATCGCTTTTCATTTTCACACACTCAATTAAGATAAAAAATTATCCTTCAAATTCAGGTGAATTCGGAAAATGCTCAAAAACATGGGGATTTTCTTCTAAATTATTCATTTACGTGGGAAAGTTTATTTTTCACTGCTGACTTCCCCTTCTCCGCACACTCAAATTCAACTCCTGGAGCTCCCCCTTGCAGGATCGTGATTGCTCAGATCAGGTCGTCATTTGTCGGAACTCAGGTACTCCTTGATTATGAAAAAAATCTCGCTGATTCGATATAAAATTCTAAAGATTTCCACATTTTAACTTTTCTTTCTATTAACCCCATCTGAGAATGTTTGTACTGTACACGTCGTTGGAAATATGAGAGTCATACCTGAATTTTTCGAATTTTGAAACGAATGAAAAATGGAATACATTATTTTATATGATTTCTAGGAATATTCTTAAACGATTACCAAAATTGCGAGCGTCTTGAAAATTCGCTGTAGAAAAAACTCTTGAAATTTCGAGGATCACTCTGGAGTGTTTTCCAAAATTTTAAAATTACGAAATTGATAAGATGGATTAAAATTTATTGAATAGAGAAAAGGGGAGGGGGTGTCGTACTAAAGAGGATTGACTAAAATAGAGGCTTGTAGTACTGCACCCCAAAAGAGGGAGGTCGCCACACGCAATGGGGGTGTCTAAGGTATGATACAAGCAGGTATTGTCAAGCCAAAAACAGGGGACAAGTTCTCTCAGGCGGCACGAGACAGCGCGGCGGTGACTATCGCCTTCCCCTCATCTCCATGTCATCCCCACTCTACAGCTATTCGGCACTGGTGGGACTATTTAAAAAATGATAATTTAAAATAGCGGGAAAAAATGTAAAATATGGCCTTGGTTTACGGGATGTGTGGTATCTACATGACCTAAAAGTTTCAAAAATAGAATAAACTATAGAAGCATTACCCAGTCTCCAAAAATCAGGCAATAACAATAAATAAATTGATTCCTCTTATTTTTTATTAAAAAATAACA